TTAATACGGATCTTTACGTTACCGGGTCCGAATAAGACATTATGCTTTCCGTATAGGTGATTATAATCTTAATGAACATAATTAACAAATGTCAATTAGAGCCCCTTTAGAACGTGTATAATATTAGCATCTGTCTAATTGGCCTTTTAGAATATATTTATTTTATTACTATTTACAGATTTTGTAACTTTGGTACAAAAAAGAACATCAACAATGATGTGATGAGTAGAGATTTACCGCACTAGTTAAACCTGAAGTTTAAAAAAAAAAGTTAATTTTCCATTTTTTTTATATAATTGTCACATTAATTAACACGTGTCAATTAGAAATAAAAACGTGTTTCTTAATGTTCTCATAATTGGGCAAACATTTTAAAATGCGTCTCTCATTAATACCACATTTATATCACGAAATTAATGAAACTTACAAATACCTAATCTATGAATCGGAATTTATTAAAAAGATATGGCTATGCGCGTACAAGTTTTTTTTTTATAAACTTTTCGTTCGATTTCTAGCCAACCCCACAGGCTAAGCTAAATGCTAGTGTTAGGAGTAGTTTCACGACTTAGAGGTCCGGATGTCTTAAAAAAACTATTAACTGATCTCTCCAATTTTGGACGTAGTATTGCACACCGTGAGGTTTTAGTTGGTTCGATACACGATGGTGTGACCTCTAGGAGGTTTCAAAAATTCAGAAAATATTCATTTATATAAACACGTTGGAGTTTTAAATAGTTGTAGATCATTATTATTATACTAATAGTATAATATTATCGCCATTTTGCTCATGGGACGTCCATAACTCAACATAAACTTCAACGACTCTTGCGTCACGCTGCGCGCACAGCGTGACTTTCGAATCCAGTTAAAAAATAACACTACATGTAGCGGTTACGACCAGTAGCGGGTACACTACAAAAATATGGGTCCCGGTTATTTGGGCAAATCTGAGCGTACTAAACTGTCCATCTAATCGGAAAAATTTAAGTAAGTCATACTTGTCGTAAGCTATATAGATGCTAATTCCCCCCTCCCCCTAAATGCTGGATGGGGTACTCAAATAGCGGCAACATGTGTCTCTTGGGTTGCATGTATCAATGGGCGGAGGTTGTCACTTACCATCAATCAAATACAATGCTATAATTTTTTGTTAATCTAATAAACCTACATAATGGTATCAAGGTTGATTAACAGTAAATAATCATAAAAAGTCAGTAAATAGTCTAGTATACCTATAAGATGTCAGTTTTTTGTTAAGAATCATAATGTTGGCTACAACCAGATTTGTTTCCGGTACAGTATGTCCAGATTTGTTACAGTTGAAATCGGCCGATTCAACTGTAATACCAGAATAAGCTTATTAAGTTGAAAAAAATAATTAAGCAGGTAGGTGTACCAAAACACCTAAAAAGTTCTAAGGCGGTCGAAGTAATGATAATTTTGGTAACTCCTGATTAAGATAAATTTAAAAACAATTAGCTATCCTGGCACACTATCCATTCAAAATTTTCATATTTTAGTTTAATTTCTCGAATTCCTCATTTTGCGGACCAATTTTTTTTTAGTTTTCCTAGCCTTCAAACGAGAAGGCCTTTATTTGGACTATAATCAACCCATACAATAAAAAATAGTGAAACCGGTTTAAAAGTTTTCGAGTTTTGAGCTTAGCAACATTTAACTATTCATTTTTATTTATAATAACAATTTTAATTTAAATGAATGAACACAGTACCTATCTCACAATTTGAAAAGAAGATTTTATAAAGCGCATAGATATTGAATAGTCAATTGTCTATGCTCGTGTGTTCATTTTTTTTAATGATATTTTTATTACTCTTATAAATCCCTGGCAACACCATTTAGAATTAATAATAAAAAATTAAAACAACTAACTAGCAAAAGGATAAGTTAAGAACAAGGACATTTACATAATAAACAAGAAATACCAGATTCACAGCATAACACACACATATTTTTTTACATGTTTTGAAATTATTCATAAATGTCATGTTTTTGGCGCTCTTTCACAAGGTCAGCGTCACATATTAAGTTTTATTTATTTTGCACCTTTACGTCGTCCTTGTTTACCTTAAATATTTATGAACTAACTAATAAAAATATGTGAAATGTTCAATGATTACATATACAATACAATTTACCTTAATCTTATACATAATATTGATTGTATCATTCTGTGAGGCTTTGGCATCACTCCGGTCGAGCCGGTCCATTTATGATTTGAAAGTTATTTTTTTACAAATAAAGTATACTTAAGAGAATACATACACATGTATATCGTGTATGTAATATATTTTGGCGGCAATATGGCAAAGGCATATTCATTAAATGTTTTTTTAATTCATCTTGGGTTTTTAACAGGTTTTGTAAGGTTAAACAACAACTCATTTCAATAAATTAGCTTAAACTGACATTAAAATTTTGTTTTTCTCAACTGACTTGGTATAGAATAGTAACGAACTTTAAAAGTATACTCGGTTTTCATACTTGAGTACTAACTATTTTATTAAGTATTACTTAAGACACAGTTTTTTAAGTTATGTTTAAAGATCCTAGGATAAGACTTTTCATTTGAATACCTTATTACTAAACATTGCTGCGGACATTAATCTTTCTACACAAGATTAAACTACAGGGACACTTTACTTTCCTTATCTTCTGGAATGTTAATACGCAAGCCTGTGGCGATACACGTCTTGTGTACTGTAATCCGCTTTACTACTGGCTTACAAAATTATGTGTAGCTTCTTGCATGTAGGTCTTGGCTTATAAGGTCGAGTAATGAGGCACTGAGACTAGTCAATTAAAGGCAAGAGTATACGCGTTGTCATAAAGGTAGTGAAAAACCGTAGGCTTATTAACTACAGTATTGTTTCCGAGGAATAGACAACAAAATAAATTTTTATTTGAATGTAGCCGCTTCGAAAACAAGCATCAGATAAGTTGGTTTATTTACTAGCCCACTTGTTGTCTTTTGCAGTTAAACCAACGTAAAGATTACTTTTTTGTCCCATATGTGGTAGTCTACAACCATCCTAAAAAACAAACACTTTATTTTTATCGGACTTAATTCCTCAATTTCTGTGTTTATTCTTATAAACTTATTAGCATACCATGTAAGCATACGCTATATCCATATTAAAAATAACATTTCTGATGCCACTATTTTGATAACATAACACACAAAAAATTAACATCATATTGTTTTTTCAACAGTCTTAAACAGTAAAAATAATACATGATTTATTTCCTCCCCACTTTAAAATGAAAATAAATAATTACAATAATCTGCTGCTATAGATTGTAAGTCAGAGATATGTAGGTACCACGCTTCAATGAGCAGCACTTGACTACAGATGGAAAGAAAGATGTAGTTTTGTAGGTCAGTAGAGGGCTCCAGTTACTAGTCATGCATTATCGGTCTTTAAGCGTATGCTTGCGTGCATTTTTGTAAGATAATATGAACAAAATATAAATAACTATATTTTGCCGGCAGCTCCGCCCGCGTAAATGTCGGTTATCGCGGTAAAAGTAGCATATGTCTTTCCTCAAGAATCAAAGTATCTCCATTCCAAATGTCATCTAAATCGGTACCTCTTTCACAACCCTTCAAGTTTTCTGGGATAAAAACTACCCTATGTCCTTTCCGGGAACTTGGACTATCTCGATATCAAAATTCATCTTAATCGGTGCAGCGGTTTAAGGGTGAAGAGGTAACGGACAGACACAAAAACAGACAAACAGACACACTTTTTACACACATACCACCTGTAATATGAAGGTTAGGTTAGTCCTTGAATTACGACAACGGTTTTATACTGTACGGTTATAAATTGTGTAAATAATAAACTTATACTCGCTCATGTCGTTTGTATACAACCGTAAAATAATGTTTGTCTTTCTTGCACGCTACTTTAGCTATTAATATAAATTTTACACTAATCCTTAAGATTTAAAATTCAATTGTAAAGTAAACTGTAAAGTAAAAAGTAGACTGTTGGTATCAATTTTTATTAGACTTTTTCTTTTTTCAATCATTAAAAAGGTATTAAGCTTCTGTTGAAACAAAAAGAGTAAAAATAGATGACTATCGACGCTCATTCTGTCAATCCCCGGTATTATCATGATTGATGTAGTATGCTACTATCGCGAGCATGTGAAAATCGAGAAAGTGATCAACATTCTATCTATACCTGTTATGTGTCGCGTAACTTCACAAGATTCACAAGTATAATATAATGGGCATGACACATCACTATCAAGCAAAATTAGTTTTCTTTGCCTTACCATTAACAAACCAGAAAGAATTTGACATTATTACACATATACCTATTTCATTTATAGTCTGTCGAAAATACTAAATTTATAAATACCTATTTTCTACACTTGTTTAGTTAATTACATAGTTTAATTTGACTTCTTGATCACTTTATAACAGTAAACAAGGTATTCACGTATTCTTCACGTGCTTGTTTACGAAATTTTCTCACTCGCAGAAATATAATCCCTTGGTGATTAGGTAGGTATATTGTTTCAATGTCTCCAAGCTGTTATGATGTTAGATAACTTTAAATTTACTTAAACCGTGAAATATGTACTTTACAGATATTATAAGTTATAGTCTCGAATACTATTATGCTACATAATTAAGTATTACAGCAGAAACACATAACCATGTATGGTTATGTGTTTCTGCTGGTGAACTAATCCTACAGTACCTCCTACCCCTACGAAGAACCGTCATCTTCGCACCACGGAAAAAAATATTCCCGCGTTTGTTTGCCAACATTGTAGTATTTTAAATCAAATAAACCAAATCCTTTTTTAACGATAGTTGCTACGGTTACATAACAGGTAAGAAAATATGTTCGTTTTCATAAATCTTTGCTGTTGTCCTTTTATGGTATTATTACAAACCAGTCTTATGTTAACCGGCTTCTTGGTGATATTTCGCAATTAAGTCACGTTATGCATTAAAGTTAGTCATACATATTCAATGAACGTTTAACAGTAACTTGAGAAGTGTGTACATACGGATTTGTTACGTCTTCGTTTTTGCTACCTTCAATTATTTTGTTTAGTCTGTGTCTTGTGACTGAAAGTTATGGATAACAAAAATATTTAAAATAAGTATGCCTATATAATGGTTGATTTTTTATTTTATTTTAAGTTTAAACGAAATGGACCGAGTCTGATGGACGCGACGACTTATAATCAGGTTCACCGTAGACTCTTTTTTTTTTAAACTTTAGATCGAAGCACGTACCTTTTCGTGATTTCCAATAAAGTTTTCTCAAGTAATAGGCAGCTGCCACTAAAAGAAGTGCAGCAATGAAAGCACCGATTGCCGCGCCAGCGACGCTACCAGCACCATAGCACGTCGCAGCCTCTTGGCCAAAAACACCAGGCACCAAAACGGTCACAAATAAAAACAAATTTAATAATACACCCATTTTTAATCCACACAATCTAACATCACTGTATATGGCACATAGATCGTTAAACAACAGACATCGATCACATTCCTAAAATTTGAATTTATCGAATCCGGAATGCGTCGTTAACTTTATGGAAGCGCAGTGACAGAAGTATGTACCGCGTCAAGCAGCGCGCACGGTCGACTGTGGCGTTCGTACCCGTTCGTAGTAGATCGGTCGTTTCGGTTGTGAAAAGGCTTTAGCTGTGATTGTGGGACAGAGAGCGTGTGTGGAGAACGTGTTTAGACAGCGCTGTGTATACGTCTGAATAGCGAAACCCCATGCCTGATAATTCTTTAAAAAGAAAATTAAGAAGTTAAATAAAGTTTGTTACGTGAATCAGATGTTACAAGGGCGTTCAGACAATTATCTTGTAGTAAATGTTTACCATTCCGTCAAGGTGCGATTTGATTTTGTATAATAAAACCATGTCACGATACAATCATTAATACATCCAAAAATAAATATAAATTTGTTACTAGCATACCTTTGTAATTTCTGTCTACTTTATCTATCACAAATCTTAATGCAAAAAAAAAAGTAATATGTTGTTTGTCAAGGATATGGTATATATTGTTTGTTAGGAATAGATAAAACAGAAAAATATACTTGAGAATTGATTCAAGTTATCTCTCCACTAAGACGATGAACAGAACACACCTGTGACAAGCGTAGACGCAGCGCCCGCCGCAGGTATCAACTCACACAGACGCATTTTACTGCTACAGACAAAAAATACTATCAGTGAACGTGTATAACATTATGACGTAGGCCGATCGTTGAAATGGACCTATTGCAATATGACCTTTTCGTTATTTGTGATACAGCAAATTTTAAATATTTATTGTTTAAATAAAATTGTATGCACTACTTACGTAATTGTTTTTAGTTTTTACTCCAACTAATAAATAAATAATAGTGGCTTAATAGTTACTAGGTCTTATAAAACCGAATCAGGAATTGACACAAATAGTATCAAAGATGTGCTAAACGACGAATCGTCTTTAATTTCTTTTTAATTGAAGTCTTAAATTAACCCTAGAACGATATGGTAGATATTAGACAGGCAAATAAAGAAATCTTTGTGTTTATTATTATGCCTAGGCAGATCTCGGCCAGCCTAAATTTACAATTTGCCTGCGACACGTACTGACTATACAGGAATTTATAATAATATTATACCTAATAAGCATGCATAGCAGTTTGTTGTGACTTGATCGGGTAGATGTAGAAATATATAGATGTATGTACATACATAGCTATACAACTTATCACGTTTTTATAATGTAGAAGGGAACCTTGTTTTGTAATCTTAAAGTTAAATTTGTCTATACTAATATATTATAAAGCTGAAGAATTTGTTTGTTTGGTTGAACGCGCTAATATCACGAACTACTGGTTCGAATTAAATAATTATTTAAGTGTATAATAGCTCATTTATCGAGGAAGGCTATAGGCACGCTACGGCCAATAGAGGCCAATCAATGAGAAACGTTGAAAAAATTGGGAAAATTTATTCCTTTTGAGAAACCCAGTCAAAGTTGAAGGGTCTCTATTTATTAATAAACCGACAGACAGACAAAAATCTTGAAAATGATTTTTAACTCAGTTATGTCTATTTAGAACTGGAATTTAAATAATAATATTTCGATCATCATCCATCACCGTAGCTTTTTGATTAAAAATATATTTATGATACTTACGGAGACGGACTGGTTGATCTAGTGGTTAGCGATCCTGACTACTAAGCCAGAAGTCGTGGGTTCGATTCCCAGCCTGGACCAATAATTGTGTGATGTGCACGATCATTTGTTCTGTGTCTGGGTTAAATTTATCTATAATATGTACATATGTCTTTAGAAATATATAAATATGTTTAACAGTAGCCTTTACCAGGCTCTGCTAGTTTACCAATGTAACTGTCCTCTACATTTTCTATGCTTATTTTTTCCCATTGCCTCTTCAAGATAATTATGGTAAAACTTAAAAGAAAAATTACAGAAACATATGACGAGTTCCGTTACCTTAAAAGTTAAGGAACCCTTGGACTGAGATATGCAATTACCTATCTTCGAATTTCGAAAGCCTGCTTGCCCGGACGGTTTAAGTGGTCCCATACCGCTTCTTACTTCGCTGATAGTTGTAGGTACGACCACATGGAACAACACTTTGTGTGATCCACAAATTGTTGTTTTAAGTCTGGATGTTCTTTGTGTCCGTTTCATAATTGTTTGTAAAGGACACAGGACGTATTCCTACTGTTTAGATTGTCCATAAAGAAAAAAGAGACATTGCATTTTATTTTAAGCAAAACATAGCTATCGAATTATACGCGAAACATGCAAGACCTTGATTCTTGTAAGTACAGTCATAGTCTAAGTGCGGCCGGCTTGTTAGTTTGGTATATTAGTTTGAGTATGCCAACATTCTTTGCTATTTTGCATATAAGGCTCGAAACACGTCTATAAACTGAAATTATTAACTTATCTTCTATCTAAATATCTAAAGCTGTATCTTCTATATCGTATAAAGAAATGGTAGAATATAGTCATTCCTTTATTTCAAACCCTTAAAACATAATACCTTTTTTTTTCTTGAAGTTTGAATGGGAAGAAACGGGAAATAGACCCTCCCGAATAAAAAAAGAATAGTTAATAAATGACACAGTTCTGTGATAACAAACATAAAAAACATACAACCGAATTACGAACCCTCTTGTTTTCTTTTAAGCCCGTTAAAAAGATAACGTAATATATTGTTTTTATTTGTTTGAATACAAAGTTTTCTCAATCATTAAATATTTGTAGAAATATAATTTAGATTTCACCTGTAATTTGACTTAAAATATTCACATCATCACATCAACAGCCTTTAATAGTCCACTGCTGGACATGGGCGTCTCCTTAGAAAGGAGGTTTTGGCCTACTATACCACGCTGGCCAGACGGTTTGGTATAGGGTTTGTGTCAAGTTTTCCTTCTCTTTGCAGTGCTGGTTGTCCTACGTTACCTCCCTTAGTCGCCTCTTACGACACCCACGGGATGAATAGGGGTGGTCACATCACAAATATTATCCTAATTTAATCAAACATAACAAAATTAAAAGTATATAGATTTCCTCTGTAACTAAGGACTAAGGCAGTTACCGAATGATGGCCAAGAGGCAGACCACCTGCTTGGTGGTCAGACGACATTGTGAGGGCTGTAGTAGACCATTACTCTCCTACCGCCCTCACAATGTCGTCTCCGTCCGTCTGGCACAAAACCGCCAGGAGTGGCGTGATACAGAAGAGGCCTTTACCCAGTAGTGGGTGCAACAGGCTGTTTAGATAGATGTTCTTTCTATGGTACACTTCAGGTTTTTTAAGCATTTCCGCCTCATATTAAACGACAAAATTGCGGCACAGTATGGTGAGCACCTTAGCTAAACATCCGTGTCTTAACTTTAAGGATGCAGATTACCTAAAGCAATTCTAGAGACCGTAAATAAAATATAATCGCACACATAAGTACCCATTAAACCAATGCAATGTTTAGAAGTTATGTCAAATGGTTGTCACAATACACCCAGGCACAACAGTCTTACAAATCCTGTTTTATTTGAATATAAACGAATTAAAAAATACAGTATTTTATAAATAATAACTCTTTTGAAAACATGTGACCTACTCTTGAGGCCCATAGAGTCGTAAACTCGGTCTGATACCGCGTCCGTGCTGAGGGTACTCAGATAATATACCAGGCTCCACTATTCGTCAAATACTATCTTAGTAGCTTTAGATTACCAGCCATCACCATCATCATCATCAACAGCCTTTGATAGTCCACTGCTGAACATAGGCCTTACTTAGAAAGGATGTTTAGAGATTACCGTCCAAGGGTCCATGAACTGAAAAAATATTTGTAAAGATGTTTTTTTTGAGATTACTACTACACATATAACCGACTTCTATGCTACTACATTATGATCAATTGTAACAAACTGTATTTCTTATTCCTTTTAAGCGGTTTATATGTAGAAATTTTACTTCAAATTGAATGAGACTAAAGGGAAGGAAATCGTTTCATAAATGACGAAGTTCTGAAATAACAAACATTAAAAATATGCATACAGCTGAATTGAGAACCTTTTTTTAAGTCAGTTAAAATGATATACTTAATATAACTAGCTTTTGCCCACGGCTTCGCCCGCGATATCGGTTTTCTGCGTTTAGCCTATGTCCTTCGTTAAGAATCAACCTATCTCCATATCAAATTTCATCTAAATCAGATCAGTAGTTATTGATTTCTTATACAAACTTCCACCTCTCTTTCACCCCCTTGGAGGATGATTTCTGGGATAAAAACTATACTCTGTCCTTTCCCAGGACTCAAACTGTGTCTATACCAAATTTCATATAAATTTGTTAAGCGGTTTAAGCGTGAAGATGTAACTGACAGACTCACTTTCGCATTTATAATCTTTATATGGATTGACTTTAAAAAATATAAAACCGACTTCAGTATATCTAAATCATGATGAATTGTAACAATCTGTATTCTTCAGGATTGACTAACCTGTTGGTCTAGTGGATAATGAAACTGAGTGCTGAGCCGGTCGAAGGGTTCGATTCTCACCCAGGACAAATAGTACGAGAATAATTATGCGATGAGAACGATCGTTATATTTGTGAATGGGTGAAATTATCTATGTAATGCATTTAATGAAAATGGGATTATGTTTAGAAATATGTGGGGATATTTACAGGCAGTTTTGTTATGATAGTACAGACACTGCCTAATTTTGAATCAGACAGCCGTGTGAAATGTGATGTTATTATTTCTTATATTACTGTCTCAGATGTAGAATTTATTTAAGAATGTATCTAAGTTACAATTTCGTATCGTAAGTTACAATGTCAACTGCTTATCTTTTACCAAATGCTGCCATTCCTGATTCAAGGATGGTAATTATTGAGGAGATCCTCTGGTGTGTAATTCCCTTTTGCATAAGCAATCAATTCGAAATGCAAAACCCGTGAAACTTATTTTTAAGCAGTTTCTAGGCGCATTTGTAGTCTTTATCTGAAGATAAACTAAACTGATGTTCAACTTCACACAAAAATATTAGATATTGACCTGATTGCAACGGTTCTGACTAGACACCTAAGTCATAGTGTTGTAATTATGTTTCAGGTTAACCCCATTTCTGTCTTATTTAACTAACGCTTATTTTAATAAATGAGTAGATCTGGATTAATAGCCGCCTTCAGTTAGCATAAAAAATATTTCAACTAAATGAGAAGCCACTCAGCGCCATCTATCCAACCTTAGCCGAACTACTAAGTAATGCTAAGATGCGCGACATTGAGCTCTTATGCTAATTGATGTAATAATACATTTACAAAAAAATAATTACAGCTTCTACTGATAACACTACTTTTTCTTAAATCCACCAGATGCTGCACTATAAATGACAAAATTAATATGAAAATTAATATTGTACTAATGACGGTGGGGTGACCATTTAAAATCTTAAATTATTTTGATGTTTGTAATAATTTAAGTTTAAAATGTACTAGTACATAGTAAGTAATGTATGTAAGTATAGTAATGTACATTATAATTAGCTTTCCAGACCTAATTTCTAACAAAAAAATATTTTGTGGCGGAAGAATTTCTTGCCTACTGTTTGCAAACCGTTTATTTAGCATGATGTAAAAAAATCTTTGACTGACAAAGATAGTTATAAACAGTTTCTCTGTGTTGGTAACTATGTCTAACCCAAGATCAAGCCCGTTTGGCCGTGGTCAGTTAATAAGAAGGAGCCCCCCACAGAGGTCAACACAACATCAGCCCATTGTTGACGCACCGCCCTTGCCAAAAACATTAATTTACATAGCGGTTTAATACAGACGCCGGAAATCCGTAGAAGTTATGAGTTTTTATTATAAAACCGTTTCGATGTTTAACAGACGTTATTTCATTACATACATAACTAATAACATACTAGCGATTCGCCCTGGCTTCGAACGGGAGCAATGTAGATACTACTAATGTGGTGTAATCACTCTCTCTATTCGTGAGAACCGCAATTAAATCCGTTGCTTAGTTTAAAATATCTAAGCGTACAACACAAAAAAGTGACTCTATTTTTTACTATGTAAAGAAGGAGATAAATATTAGGGGCAGAATAGCTGTTGTGGTTTGAGTTTAGAACCAATGTTCTAAATACACTCATTTTTATTTTAAGATCTTAATAGTAGTGTAAAGTTTTCATACTCATAGATTTTACAATTTTGCTCCTACTCAATATATTTTTTTTTTCAAATAAATCAGTTATTAGTAGAAAAAATAAGGGCAAGTGGTTGAATTTGCACCAAAAATGTGGTCACACTTTATAAACGACATTTAAAAAAATTCTATTGCGGTAGTTGTCAAATCGTTTTCCAATATTTCATCGCCGGGTGATAAAATTTAGGATAAACCGTAGATACATAAATTACTTTATTTTTAGTCAATGCTTGTTGTAGTTGTCTAAACGAAAATGGAAAACGATATAATTGATTCACTAAACGATATGGGGTAAGTTGACTATTAAAAAGGTTATTTCTAAGAAAATGCTACACCGAAATGGACTGCCCTTAAAACTTTAAAAGAAACCGAAACATATCAAGAGTTCTATTTTTGAACTCCTTAAATTGTCTGCTTAACAGAACATGTGCATTATCTGGAAAGTTTAATAAAAAAATACATTTAAATGTTACTTATGGAACTTAATCGATACAAAAAGATACTTGTTGCGCTGGCTTAAAGCGTTTTTCAAGTAAATTAAAAAAAAAACAATCCCATATAATTGTATTAATTACAAATCCTTATTTGCGTAGTAGATATTCTCTTTTTTATATTTGAGATGCAAACATTATTGTTTATCCGGCCCTTTCGTGCCATATGTTTCTATTGCTTAATATTCTATTTAATTTTATTCTATTCTATATACAATTTCTTTTTGTCTGTACAACATGTGTATTAAAATTGCATTATTAGAATTAGGTATTGTATAAAGTTGTGCAACACTGCAAACATGGCATTCATATAAAGTGATAATATTACAGACTAAATATCAATTGCAATTATTTATTTATGACTAGGAACTGCTACTACTTAGAAAAGAAAGGAAGCTTATTAATTATTTCAAGTTTTACACAGTATATTTCATATACTTTAAATGGCTAGGAAAATCTAAAATAAGATGTTGCTTTCTATCCATAATGTTCTTGAAATATTCCTATATATTAGAACCTTTGGGTCCTATAAGAATGATAATTATGTCGTCATTACTGTTTTATCTTATAATATTTCTTTTTATACCTATTTACTATAGAACAAATGTATGCAATATTCTGTCATAGATGGTTCTTTTTAGAAGAGAACTTAGAATACCTAGGATGCTTTAGATGTAAAGGCTAGCAACTAGGTCAAACAAGGCTTCCTCTATTGGAACAATTAGAACTTTATATGTAATAATATATAAAATAATAGCCAGTATTAAATTGGAAAGGTATTTTTATAAATCTATTTGTTTCAATATTGTAATCATGTGTGCATCATCAAGCAGAAGTGAAGTCACTTCTTATCCAGCATACTGTAGTAATACACCCTAATTTATATTTCCAAGTTTACCTTTAAATAAATAGACAAGTATAAAGCCTGATTTTCCCATCATCCACTTTATTTTCAGATATGTGGGCCCACTTACAAATGAGGATACATTTCTCAAAGCAGTGGAATGTGGAGCTAAATCCATGGAGTTTACTAAGCTGATTCATATCTTAGCAGATGAATTAAAAAAATTCTGTCGATTGGAGGAAACAGTGAATGTTATGAATGGCCCGGAGGACTCCAGCTCCTTCTTGCTGGAACTTAGTTCATTTTTAAAGGAACTAGGATGTCCATATAAAAATTTAGTAACAGGTTTGTATTTTATAAAAGGAGTAACCCCCTTTTTTTTTCTTTTTTTCCGTGCGGACATCCGAAATCGGACTCGAACCGACTAAAACCGCACGCCGACTGGGGTACTAATAGCCGGGGAACCAGGTATACCCTAGAAAGGAAGTCCCTGGTGCCCTGACATACCTCGGGCCATCTACAACAAGTAGACGACCCCCCCCTTGTAAGAACCCCATGTTCCCTCTGCTCCCTGGAAGCGAGCGCGCTTCGCAACGCGCTCGCCGCCACCCCGGCCTGCTTCTGCTAGGGTGACAGATGGCCTCACCTGTCACCCCCAGGCCTGCGCTTATGGAGGACGGAGGTCGTTCTACGACCTCCGGCGCCTGAGTCGCCTGCGGTACCTGGCCCGTTCCCGGGCAGGGGTAACCCCCTAGGGGTAAGAAAGCTTTATATAATGTAAAATTTCAAAATTATTCTTTTTCATATAGTCTTTTTTGTTGTGTTGTGTTGCTCTTTATCATGAGTGTGTTGCACCCTTATTTGCAAACAAGACTATAAGGACTCATACTAAGCATATGCTCTCTGAATAAATGCAGCAGTTCAGCAATTATACACAATATTTTTTGGAATTTGTAATGTTATGTTGAACATTAACATAAGAATGAATGAAAAAATTGAGTTTGTACTTTGCCCTTTTTTATAAATAACGATATATATTACAGCAGGAATGAGAATTTTGTGCCATTGCTTCATCTACACTAAATAATTTTCATTCTAGCAAGCGGAGCTCATATACAGGGTTACAAGAAAAGTCGTGCTAGATCCGTTAAGGGCGTGGAGTACCCATCATTTCTGACAAATTTCACTATGAAACACCCTACCCTAAACTTAACCCTTTTCGAGATAATCGTCTTTTAATTTTTTTATTGAAATTTGCTGATTTTTAGGCTATGTACTACATTTATTTTTGTTTATTTTGTGTATCTTATTATTATTATTTTTGCATTTTTACATGTGTAATAAGATGCTTTAGGACGTCAGTCATTAAAATAGTTCATAAGTTAATTGAATAGATCGTGGTAGACAAGTGAAAGTAAAGAAATAAAAAAAATAATTAGAAAATTATTTTTCTCTAACGGATATCTAAAAACAATATTATGGTAATTGTTCGGCAGATGTTTTTTAAAATATCTACGTTTCATCAGCTATCTAACGAGGTATAATAATCTAAGGTTTTATTCAAATGCATTGAAAAAACTTTAGTTTCATAGGCGACAGTGGAGAAGAAAATTTATACTTAGCCCAAAAAAGTAAAATAAAACAATAGTTAAGCATGAAATGTCAGTTATTAAAGGTTTTCACACAACTTTTTCTTATTCTACAGTTCATGTTCAACATGGCCGCCTCTATTTCTGATACATTGTCGCATCCTTCTACGGAGACCAGTCTTCACTACTCCAGTGGTCAACGTGGTCCTCATTTTATTTGCTGCATCCACAATCCTTTCTCGTAAGTCTTTCACAGACGAAACTGGATTCGGCTCGCTGTACACAAGACTTTTCATGCACCCTCACACATGAAAATCCATGGGGGTTAGGTCCGGACTTCTTGCTGGCCATGGCAACGGCCCACCTCGTCCTATCCATTTGTTTGGATAATTTGTGTCCAGCCAGTCCCTGACACTTCTCCTGAAATGGGCAGGGCAGCCATCGTGTTGGAACCACATGTCCCTGATCAGGTTGAGTGGCAGATCGTCCAGCAAATCACTCAAGTCTGCTCTCAGGAAATTTTCGTAGCTTTCCCCATTTAGATTATCCGGGAGAAAGTAAGGTCCAATCAAATGATTGGAGATAATGCCCATCCACACATTCACGCTGAATCTTCGTTGGAACCCCTTCACTCTTTTCTTATTGGGATTCCTTAGTTCTTTTGGGGCCCAGTAATGGGCGTTGTGATAGTTAGTTATGCCATCTTTATCAAATTTGGACTCATCCGTCCACAAGATATTTCTTAGAAAATCTGGGTCTTCTACGTCAGCATTTAGCATAAATCTGCAAAAGTCCAATCTTCTCGCGGGGTCTCCTTCTTCAATAACGTGTACCGGCGTGTAATGGTACGGGTATAGGCTAGCAGTATGCACTGTAAACCACACTCTCCATTGCGAAAGTCCCAGATCACGGGCAACAATATTAGTGGAAGTAGTCGGATCCGCTCGAAAGCGTTGCACTATCTCATTGTCCTGTTCTTCGTCGTCAATTCGTGGTCTTCCCATGTCTGTATTTCGTCTCAAAACAGAGCCAGTTTCTCGAAGTCTTCGATAAACTCTGTCAAAAACGGCCACATCCGGCACTCGACGACCAGGGTAGCGAGTTATGTATTCGTTGCGAGCTTGCGCAGACACACAATCGCAGTATCCGTAACAAATAAGCATATCAGCATATTCCTCAGGTGTGTAGGACGTCATCTTCAACACTACCGTATCACAGGTACAAATCAGAGTCCGATTAACAAGCACAGTAGTCACAAATCAGAAGAAATAGTCCAGAATCACAGCCAAGTCGAGAAAAAGAGCAAAACGATATCACATCTACTATGTACGAAGCACAAAAGCAGACTGACAACTAGTGACAACCAAACAATGCCCCCTGTTGTATTCCCAGCCCTAACCGGTCTCTACACATTTTTTCTTTCATTCGCACCTACATAAATCGTCACTTGTCTCGCTCGCTTGGTGCGTCTTAATTTGAAGGACAATAGGCGCGGGACAGTTAGAACTGTTAAAAAAAAACAGAAATTTTAAAAAACATCTGCCGAACAATTACCATAATATTGTTTTTAGATATCCGTTAGAGAAAAATAATTTTCTAATATTTTTTTTTATTTCTTTACTTTCACTTGTCTACTACGATCTATTCAATTAACTTATGAACTATTTTAATGACTGACGTCCTAAAGCATCTTATTACACATGTAAAAATGCAAAAATAATAATAAGGTACACAAAATAAACAAAAATAAATGTAGTAGCCTAAAACTCAGCAAATTTAAAAAAAATAATTAAAAGACGATTATCTCGAAAAGGGTTAAGTTTAGGGTAGGGTGTTTCATAGTGAAATATGTCAGAAATGATGGGTACTCCACGCCCTTAACGGATCTAGCACGACTTTTCTTGTAACCCTGTATAATGAACACCTTCCCTTTGCAAAACTTTAATTACCATCCTCTATAAATTGCGCAATCTGTCGCCAGGTCACATGTCTTCTCGTCTACAAAGCAAAGAAGACTGTCTTCTATTACTGGACTATTTAATATCTGAACTCATGGCTGCCAGAATGGTGAATATTGAGAGCGAAGGCAAAGAAAAGCAAGGAATGGAGATTGTTATGGTAAGTTGTCATACAAATTGTTACACTGTGGGTTTTTTTGATAATCTTAATAGAAATCTGAGCTTCAATGATTATATGTACATATTGTTTTGTATATGTACAATTCTCGTAATAAAAGTTTGGTCAAAATTCAGTTCTGATCAACTCTCGATCTTACAACTGTCATTAAAGGTATTTTATTAGTAAAGTATTAATCATCCAACGAAATCTGCTAGTCTTAGTAATACTTTAACTATTAAACTACGAAAATTCCGTACTGAAATTTGGCCGAACTTTTATGACGACAGTTGGCCTTCTCATCATAGAGTTCAACTTCATATTCATACTTCACATTCATAGAATTCAAATTCACACTTCATGCTGTGCTTCAACTATTTCATGAAATGTTCCTATTTCATGGTGATGCCAGCAAAAACAGACTGGTTTAAATGTCACTGTGTTTTGGCAAGTTGTAGATTGCAAAATGTAATGGCGACGTCGGAAGTGTATAGGACTGATTATTAGATATTCTGTATTAATCGTCTGTTATATATTTTACTAGCGCTCCGCCCCGGCTTCGTCGTTGATGATATGCTGAAAAAAGCAATTTGGATAAGGGATAATAACCTATTGGTTATAATATTATGGACTTTTTTGTAGATCTTTTTACGATATACAATTCCGTAGTACATTAGTTTTTTACAACTAATCTTTGAAATTCTCGGATTTTCTCTACTATAATATGCATGTATTGTACATATAAACCTTACTCTTAAATCACTCTGTCTATTGGTGAAAACCGCATTAAAATCCGGTACTTAGTTTAAAAGATCTAAGCGTACAACACAAAAATGCGACTGTATTTTATACTATGTAAAGAAAAGTAATATATTGATTATTTTTTAGCAAGAATCTCCAACAGCAAAGAATCTGAAAGAAATCCTCATTATCTTGAAGTTCAACAAACCGCCACCCAACATTTCCCCTGAAATGCTGTTCTCAAAACTCGAAGCTAAACTAAAAGACACCATTGCAAAAGAAGGTACATATTTAAAAGCTCTTTTATTTATTAAGTTGTATAAAAGGTAAATGGAAGTATAGTGAATCCGCAATACCTATATTTGAAGATTCCTTCAATATAACCATTTTGCTCAAAATGTAAGGGTTAATGTATAATTAATTTTTAACAAAGTTTCACCCACTTCAATATGCCTATATAATACGAGGGCTGCTATTTATGTATCCGGAACTGGCCAGTTACAAAATAATATCAAAAAAGTAATAATAACATTTAAAAATAGAATTCTTTGGCTGAAAAATACAATTTGTTTTATGTAGTTGTTATACGGATAAACAATCCTTTGTGGCGTCATTTTGGAAATTGTGTGTCTTTATCACTGTATCGTGGAAATTTTCATGCTATGATTTATTACGATTTTCGGCGAGGACTAACTCAAAAACAGTGCATCGATTAACTCACTTCGACTTTTGGGGACGAAGTACCATCAAAAACAACTGTGTATCACTGGTTTAGTGAGTTTAATCGAGGGCGGTCTGTGCTCACGGACGAATTTAAAGAAGGTCGCCTTAAATCGGTTGTTGTACCTCAAAATATTGATGCTGTGCGGGAACTAATAATGCAAGATCGTCATGTTGCATATAGTGAGATAGAGGCGTGTCTAGGAATAAGTATTAAGAGTATATATAAAATATTACACGAACATTTAGCTGTAAAAAAAAGTCACGTTGGATTCCGCACAACTTGAGAATTGACCAAAAAACGGACTCGTGTCGATTGGTGTAAAAAAATGTAACAAAAGTACAATCAGGGCGCGTCAAAAGCTGTCTATAATATCTACACAGGTGGTGAATCTTGGATATATGCGTATGATCCTGAAATAAAAACAACAATCAATGGTTTGGGTGTTCCAAGATGAGCCGAACCCAACAAAAGTCATTCGTTCACTTTGAAGCACTTTGAAGCAAATAGTTGCTGGTTTTTTTTGGTATAAATAGGTATGTGGCTACAGTGCCACATACAGGGCTACAGGATCGTAAAACGGTTAATTCTAAATGGTACACGACCATGTGTTTGCCAGAAGTCTTTGAAGAAATAAGAAAGAATAACCGACAACGCAGAATCCTTCTTCATTACAACAATGCTAGCTGCCATACATCGACCGAAAGAACTCAGTATTTGGAAGATCAAAAAATCGAATTAACGGGTCATCCGCCGTACAGCTTGACTTGGCGCCCAACGACTTCTATTTATTCCCAACCGGCAACCAAGAATAAATTACGTGGTCAACGTTTTTCGGGCTGTGCTGAGGAGAGTTTTGGAGAAACCTCAATAAGATTGGAAAAAGCGCTACGAAAATTGGTTCCAGCGCTACGAAAATTGGTTCATAAATAGCAGCCCTCGTAGATAATATAAATACGATAAATATTTGTATGATCTGCAAATATTTGTTTCGGAGTTTGGATGTTTTCTATGTACAATATGTATGTATGTATTTACAAAAAAAAATGATATAAGTATTCTATCAGTCAATTTAGCTTTCATAGTACAAGCTCTGCTGCCAGCAAAAAATCGTTATATGTTGTGTCTGCTAATTGGCGTTCAATGTGCTAATTTTCCGCCCTTATCGATGTTTTTTTTTTAAATTGAATGGGAACAAAAAGCAGGTGTGCTTGAATAAAAAAAATATTTTAAAGTGAACAGAAATAAACTTTTTTATTGTTAATAACTTCAGAACTCCGTCTTTTATAAACTGATGTTAACATTTTTTTTATTTGGGAGTGCATAGGTACTTTCCGTTGGTTCCCATTCAAATTTGAAGAAAAAACACCAGCTCAAAATACCATTTTTTTTTATGGAAGAGGGTTCAAACGAGGGTTGGTTTTTGGTTCATGGGCGGTGATAGTCACTTTCCATCAACCAAAGACCCGTATGCTCTTTTGCTCCCTTTTCTTTAAAAAAAAAGTGTGTGTCAGCTCCGACTTTTCGACTGCGTGCTCGATAGGTTGTGAACAAAAACCGTAACGAGTTCATTCGAACACTTTATTTTACTCTTCATATTCTTTTCATGCCTTATGTAAAAATCGATTCTTAAGAAGTAAACTCCAAAAATATTTTTAATGTAATGACTTATAGGTGATCAGCTAGTTGGTAAACCTCTATATAATAAGGCCTTAAGTGAGAAGGACTGGAAGCAACTGGAAACTATTTACAAAGAAATGTATGAAGACTACAGGTTGAGGAAAGAAACCCTTATCACCCGGTTAGAGTGTACTATACAGAGTTTTCAAGTAAGTCGTAGATACTGTTTTATACCTGTCTGTCTGTTTTTATCTTTGCTATCAAGCAATAGCAAAGCAATACCTACTTATTACCGTCGGTACAGTGACATTCTGAGCGTAGAAGATGTCGGCGACGATATAAGTAGGAGACGGGGCTGCCAGAGAGCAGGGACCTCGGTGTACAGTTTGGGGGAACTGCGTTAGGGGTTTGCAACATCGGAAAAGTTACGTACAAGAAGTGAATTTACCTAACAATAATTGTTTAAAACAGTTTTTTGAAACATGCAGATAACTTCCAATGCATTGTATGTAATTAGGTGACTGCAGGTTTTTTTTTTTATAAAATTAAAAACGTAAACCTTGTATTCTAGTGGTCCGAACGCTTGAAAAAGGACATAAATCTCATACAGAGCGCGTACCGCACAAAACGCGAAATGTTAAAACCGAAGCCAGATGTGAAGTTGTCAGACTTTCTAGCGGCAAGAACATCGCTTTTGCATGTGGAGAAGACTTCTAGTGCGAGTGTGAGACAGAACACACAGAGTGAAGTCAACAAAGTGATAATTGGACAGGTTGGTAATTGAAATGATATTTACTAGCGATCGTATTGGTCAATACTGTAATTCATTAAGTTTTATGTATATTGGTCTTAGGCAACTTAAAGCCTCATGCTTATGAAGTACTAAGCGCCGCAGTAGACAAATATAGCCATATATATATATAAATCCAAAATCAGTAAAACCGTTTTGCTTATATGTACCTAATTTGCGCCAAAGTTTTGCTTCATGTGCGTTCACTAAGTCTTCAGAAACAAAATTATATTAACACACAAAAACGAACACATTTTTCCAATTAATGATTTGTATGGGGGTACCCTCAATCAAAACATTTGTACCAACTTCAAATTATATTATTAAATCCATCACTACTTTATTTTAAAGTTTTAAAAGCTATTTAACCTGTCATAGGTACCAGATCGTGGAGGCCGTCCCCACGAACAACAGCCTCCGCCACCAGAAATGCCTTCCTGGCAACAGAGATCTGCGGTAAGTACAGGTTTCTACCTAATAAACAAAAACAATAATATCTGTAGTATATTTATAGCGTTTTTAATAGAATGTTAAGGAAAAATTATAATGGTAACATCTTATTCAGGGAGATAGTTTTGCTCTATCCTGTTTCGTAATATCGCATATTGCAGCAAGACACCTTAGAAATAAATCTTAAAGCAGCTTCCGACCCGTATCCGAAATATACAAACAACAAAAAATTCTTTAATTTCATCTTCACAACGACAAGTCCTATTTAGTGGTAGTAACTGATGATCACTGAAAACGAAAGCTGTCAGTGAAATACATACTCTTACACAAAAACCTACGTGTGGGACAGAGATAATAAATGAAGCGGTTTAAAACGATTTGCTCTTCAATAGTGTCCTTTAAATCGTGTTTAAATCTTTGCTCATGTTAAAACGGTCTGAAATTCTTTAAATCCCATAAAATCCAGGGCGGAGGACGCGGAGGCGGAGGCGGAAGCGGAGGCAGTGGTCGCGGAGGCGGCGGCGGATTTGGTGGACGCGGAGGTTACGATAGCGGTCGTGGAACTAACGATGGTGGTCGTGGGGGCTACAACAGTGGACGGGGTGGTTACGATAATAATCGTGGTGGTTACGACAACAGCCGAGGAGGTTACGACAGTGGTCGTGGCGGTTACGACAGTGGTCGAGGCGGTTACGATAGTGGTCGGGGTGGTTACAATAGTGGTCGAGGTGGTTATGACAATGGTCGGGGTGGTTACGAGGGTGGACGGGGGGGTTACGACGGTGGTCGTGGCGGTCAAGGTGGAAGAGGCGGTCGGGTCCAAGGCGGATACAGCCAAGCCAGCGGTTATCAGGCCAGGTAAGAACAAAGTTCAATATACTGTGATTCGTAGGAGTTTAGATAACAGTAACTGTATTTTCACGCATGTAACCGATTCCGAATGCACCCTAGCATAGTTATCCTATTCCGATTCCACTCTAGTATCCGACGTTTTAATTCCTTGTCTCTCTCATACGTGTGTTTGTTGGCTCATCCTTTTTCGTTTAGTGGAATACGCAAGTAAAAGTAAATTAGTATTTTTTATTTTCATCTAAAATTGTTATTATTAATTATTGTTAATATAATTTAATGTTTATTTAGGTAAATGCATGTACTTATGTATAAAGTATATAGGTGTAATATATGTGTTATATATTTGATATTAAATTTTGTATGCACTGTTAAAAATTTGTTTGTATATTTGAAAAACAAGTAACCAAAATGCACCTACTTCCTGTTTTCTCTGCATCACCCAATGGTTGACCGGTAAAGAATGCCCTAAGGTGAGTATAGCCTAGAGCATTTACTAGTAATAAAACATTTGTAAATTTACTCAAACCACATTTCATATTCGTTGTTTTGTTGCAACCTCCCTACTAAGGAGAGGTCTATGTCCAGCAGTGGACTATTAAAGGCTGTTGATGAAGGGCCTAGTGCTAGTTTATGGTGTTGCGATTGGTGAAGATTGCAGTGCGGGCCAATCGCAGCGCCGAACGCAATCACCGTGACGATCGTGATGCGAAATAAACTCGCGCTTGGGCCTCAGGTTTTTGTGTAACGTTTACACGAGCGCGGGTGATGAGGGGCGGCGGGAAGTGAAGTGCTCAGGACAGGGAAGTAGTAGATTGTACCAGCACCTAGTTGTGCAATTTTTTATTTTTTTAAAGATAAACGCAACACACGCGACGAACATAGTTCCGACATTTCAACGAGGAGTGTACGCCAGCTAGAAATAAATGCTTATATATACTCGTATGCGAATACGTCGAACACAGCGTCGAGCGTGAGCGCAAGAACGTGACGTAACATGGAGATAATTAAGAAAACTGAGTATTTGCCTGTACTGTACCATTCGTAACAACGTTACATTTCATTGAAATGCTTGAGGAAATGCTCTAGTCTATACTCAACTTTAGGCATTAATACGGCTATTGCACTATATATAATAAATAAATAAATGCACGGTAAAATAAGAATAATAAATAAACAAATAAGTCTATGAAAATGTAGTGCTTTTGCTCGCGGCTCCGCCCGCGTGTATGTTGGTTGTCGCTGTAAAAAGTAGTCTATAGCACTCGGGGATAATATTTTCAAAATCGGATCAGTAGTACTGGAGATTACCCCGAATATACAAACTTACAAACTTTACCTCTTTATTATATTAGTATAGATTGTTTGTAAAAACAGAATTTAGTAAAAATGTAGTTGAATTTTACCCTGTTCTAAAAAAGGAGGAGATTCTCGATTCAGTATTTTATGTATGTTACTTCAAAACTAAGCCATTTATAGGTAAACCGCTTTGAAAAGTTTTATTTTGCGTAGGTATATTTCCCTTTTGGTCCCTTTGAAAAATACCAATAAAATTCTCGATGCAAGCATGATCAGAAGGTCAATTCTCTTAATAAAAATGAATTAAAAATTCAGTTTCGATCTAATCTAAATCTTACAAATGTCATAAAAGGTAAAGTATTACTAAGACCAGCAGAATACCGATTTCAACATTCGCTTACAATATCACATTACAGTCAACGCTGGATGTTTAATAAATTAATACTTTACTATGAGAATACGAATATCTTGCGAACATCTGTGGCAAGTGTTACGGCCCTAAAAAGTCCGATAAGTCTTTGTACAGAACTTCCATATCGCCTACTAGATGACATGAAAATTATTGCTACTTTTAATCATGTTATGATGAAATGATAGGGTTGAGTCACAACGATTTCAGCTGTGACTGTGATTCGGTTTAAACAAAGATAAAAACCATAGCCTACTAATAATAATAAGTCGCAGTGACATTGTATATTAGTCACAGGTGTTATTTTAAAATTTATAGGCTTTATGGGATTATTAGGATTTATCGCAGGTGATTGTCATTTTATTCCATCCCTACCTAGGTGGTGGAGTTCAGATTCTGAGTTCTGATAAAATCCAAATTTTAGACTTAAAGCCGACCCTAACCCAGATGGGGAAAAAAAAGGTCGGAGGAAGAAGACTTTACTACGAGAATACCTTATCCGAGAGTAAATCGGAACTGAACTTTGAACAAATTTTTATTACGAGGTTTGACCTTCAGGCTTATTTCTCTGCCACAAATCTACAATAACTATGTATTGTATGCTTATATTGCGGTTAGTAGTCCGTTCTTTATTTAAATTTTTTTCTTCATGAATTATTTTTGCAAATAATTATTGGATGTGAAAACCCCCATTGCAGACCTCAAACAGGCCCCGGCGGCTACACTCAAAATCGCAACCACCAAACATTTGAAGTTCCTTTCGACGCCGCCAATCGTTACTGTAACGGCGAAGGCACAAGGGAACGTGATCTAGCTGATGGTGAGACTCTTTTTTCATGTCTCTTTGCCTCGTCGTCTGTTTCATTTTGTAGATTTTTTGTCAATAAATTCAGTCTCATCATTCTCGGCTTTTTTAATTATTATTTTTTGCGTCGGCACATGAGCCAGATCAATCTGAGTGCTATTCTGTCCTCACAGAATACCAATTAAACTATTATTTTATGAACCGTGTTTACTGGAGACCGAAACCTGCCGTAGATGCCGGAAGATAGCGTATGCGACTGCTATGCAAAGGTCTCGGGTTCGATACAAAGGTCGGATCAAATATTTGTATGTTCTGAAAATATTACTTTCGAAGTTTGAGTGTCTTCTATGTATAATATGTATGTATTTAGAAAAAAAAGTATATAAGTATTCTATCATTCAGTTTAACTTTCATAGTTCAAGCTCTGCTTAGTTTGAAACTAGATGGCTTGTTTGTCAGTTGTCCGAAATATTTAGTTTTGTACTTATGTTTTCAGTTCCATATAAATACATGGAGCAGCAAAACCCGAACTCTTACTTAAGGCAACAAAGGCAAGGGGGTGATCAGAGGAAGGGATTTTATTTTCCGGCCGAATCGACCTCAGAACGGCGCCAATATGAGGACAGAGAAAGACAAGGACAAGGTAGAGGCGGGGGCTACAGAGGCGGGAGACGTTGATATGAGACACCTCTTTAATTAATTCGTATAATATTGGAAAGTGAAATAAATGTATTGTAATGCCAATTTGTAATAGCGACGTCTATGTCTTACTAAAAATACTACTTTAAAAATATCATAATTACAAGTATATTAGGCACAGGTCATTCAATATATTAATAGTAACACTAGTTGAGATATTCGCCATTTTTCTTTATTGTATACAATAACGGTCACATATTATGCAATGGCGAACTTAAGTTTAGTTCTATTCCAGCAAAAGTATTAGTTAAAAAAGCTGGCTGGTGGCGTAAACAAGAAATAAAGTTGTTACGTAAAGTTAATAAAATATTGAGCTAAATTCAAATATAATTGACTCAATATAAATTAACCTACTTCCATATACGAGAAATACATTCAATTAATAAATATATATTATACACATATTTATACATATACAATATACATATATACCTCAAATATATACACAAGTTATAGCTGAGAAATAATCCTTAAAACATTGATAGATCTGTTATCGCATATTAAATACAGAAGAGATTGCCGTATGAGTTGAACTATATAGGAAGAAGTTCTCGTTATTGTCTAATAGATGGCAGCAGTTAGCGCGCTATGGCGGAGGGAATATTAAACCGATTCTCATTATATTTTGTTACTACTAGATAATTGTTTAATGTTTCTTTTCAATGTCGTTTTGTTAATTTTGTGTGTGTTAATTGATTTCTATTAATAAACAGTACAATAGAATTAAATATCCATAAGAAACCTACTTCAAAATTCATCCATGTGGTACATTTAATAAATGCTGATAGGTTTTTATCTTACATGTTAAAGGCTTTAACAGTTTAAGTTTTATATACATAGCAAAGCAATTTAGAGTTTTGTAGCTTAACGGTGAATAAAACAGTTTAGATAGATTATTATCTCTTATAAAACTCCATTAAAAATCAAGACTGTAGCGTCAGCAATAAGTTGAATTGTAAAATATTTAAACTTAAACTCTGATAATATGCTGATATTACTCCCTTTTTAACGAGTTAACTAGTAAAATTATTTATCTCAAAACTATTAAAAGTAATTATTGTTATTATTAGCTGAATCTGCCATCGTTATACTACGATAGCTCGCCACAACGTTTTAGAAATATAATAAAAGCTGTTGCAATTTTTTTAATATATCTAATATGTTGATATTAAAGAGTAGTAAAATATATGTTAAAATACGTTCGAAGTTTGATAGTAAAATATTTTGCTGTGCAATGTTTTCATGGGAACACGCAATGAGAACCCACTATGTTCGAAATACTAATTAAGGTATTGTCGATCTAAGTAGATATTAGATCAGACAAAGTAAGTGGTGTTCTTTGATTCACATCACACCTGGCTAAGCCGGTGACGTCAAATACGCACATTAGTATAATGACGCATCGATCAAGCCCCGCCCCCTGACCAATCAGGTTGCAAGAAATTTTCGTTGGACCAAAACGCTTGACCCTGATTGCGGATGCGGATTATGGTGCGGAGCTTGATTATACGTCATCATTGCGTCACTATTTTCTTAACGCAAATGGACTGTACTGATTTTCGGTCTATTTCATGGGCACTCGGTGAATCTAGCAAGTTCATTTTCGTTGCGAATAAAGTGACGTGTCTTACAATCGCCGGACATTTTAAGGACATTTCACACCAAGGATGTCACATCCTTGGTGTGAAATGTCCTTAAAAGCTGGTCAAGCCTCCTCTTCGGCACTGCTGAGTGTGATATGAATCGATTCGATCTAATCTTCACAAGTCATATGACCAGGGAATGTATCTCGTTAGGCGGACCCATACAGAGCGAGCAGCCTGGCGAGTCATTTGTCCCCAACCACCGCGGCAGCCCGACCCCTTTGTTCGTTAGTTCAGTGTAGTGTTAACACATCATGTCATAATATGCAGTATCTCTTTCGCGTTTCAAAATAATCGATATCAACGATTAATATGTTCGAGGGAGACACGAAACAAAACACGCTTGCGTTCAGAGTGCGTGCCGTAAACGACGGAGACGCCTTTGAGCAAAACTAAAAACCGACCCTCGCGCGCCCTTCCTCGGCTGAGGCTCGTCCACACGGGCTGAGCAGCTCGCTCTGTGGGTGTGGTCTATTGCTTTAAACCATTGTATTAGTGGTATGTTGTCCATTATTTTGCTTAATAAATCAATGTATTTTGTGAAAAATGAATATCTAACCAATTTGTACTGTTACGTCTGTTACTATTTTTCAATAAAAGGTAACACATCATTCATCATGATCTGTCTGAAAACTCCTCCAAAATCCCAGTAAAATTTCTCTACTTCTAGACCTAGACCCACTCACTCACCTCACCTATACTAAATTGTGTCTAAAATACTTTAGATTTTTAAATTCGTGTGAAATTAGTTATAAATTATAAAGTAATACTAAGTATATTTTATTTAATACATCAATTATCATGATATTCGGTTTAGTATTTAAGATAATATTTTTTTTTGTAAAGCTCGTGGTTTTTTACTAATATTATTGCTACCACTGAGCTACGAGAGGCCTTTCAATACTGCAATAAATGTAACTTGAATAGTATATAAAGCTATTTTTATTTATATATAGGTTGACTGTATTTATCACATTTACAACTTTTCTTTCAATATTAAATAGTGTGTATTCAAAATTGCAGTTATTATTTACACCACTAACTTAACGGATTTGACCTAAACAAAGCTGGGAAGATTCTCCATGTCCACTTGAACCCCCTGACTCAATCCCCCAGGGGATTGTACAACACTCACTATTCACTTCGATCCCCTGTGCTTAAGACTCGACAAGAACTTTCGACTCAGTGACCGACAAATTTCGACTAGTTTGTTTTTAAAATTAAAATCCCTGTTGGTGGCCATGACAGCGTCAGTGACAACTGCGTATACAACTTAACACAAAATACACAATGGCATACTTAGTGCCTGTATTGTAAGGACTTGTAAAAACGATTCAATAAAATCTTGAAGTACAAATAATTTGTGAGTCTTTTATCTCGAAGTATTCTACTTTTATTGTTAAGTCATCATCAATATTATGCATCAGGAATATATACTATCCTTTACTATATAAAATATGTGTTAGATACATTATTTGTAAATATCACTTAAATCATTTTGGTTCGATCTACTTGTGTACAGTATTTCAAAGGAGGGAACTTTAGCTTGTTTGAACCAATTGCATGGTTTTCTAATACTTTTGCGCGTCAAATTAAAACGACAAAAACATATTAAACAAACAAAAATTTAATATACATAATATTATTTACAATACGATTTCACTTCGAACTTGTTCTATACTTAATCATTAGTCACGCAATATTCGATCTCATTTCGACTGGTTTAAGTATAAATTTACAAATCTTCTATACTCCACTTGTATGCTTCTTCTTCTTGTGCTTTTCTCTTACTTTGCTGTTCAAAGAATTTCTTTTCGTACCCATTTGAGCGATCAACACCATCCCATCGGTAGCCAGGGCGAATGTTGAAGCGATTTGGTGGGTAACTCCCTTTATAGGAAGGTTTTTCTGTAAAAAAGTAAGTATTACAATAAACATGTGAGTAACGAGGTAAAAATATTCTGGCTTTGAATTTAAGATATTTATTGAAATAATAGTAAATTATATTGTTTTTTTTTTACATTTTTGAATGCGGAAGCTCAGACCGATGTGCTTCAATAATATACAGAAACCTTAAGGTACACAGGTTTTCTCAGAACTTTTAGTTAACCGTCAAAGTATATATCTTAAGTATGTATTTAACTTGTATTTATATCTATTGACAAATTTTGAAAATTTTATGGACATGATATTACAGTACTCCAACACTAAGCTCTTTTCAAGAAACTGCCTCACATCACGAATCTAGGAACAAATTGTCGGCTGTGGTATGCACCTCAAAGGCCGTCAATCAAGGGTAATCAATTACCATCGCGTGACCGTCTCCTCCTTTGCTAGGAGGCATCTGGAGAAAAATATCATAAGAGAAAAATGCTGAAAGAAATAATAACCTGGTCCAAGCTCGCCCCTCTCCTGTTTCTTTTCTCTGATATACTTCAACATAGGATCCCCTTCTCTTTCTATTTGTTTAAGGTTGCTCTCCAGGTCTTTGTCACCTTTATGCCTAGCTAGAGGCTTGGATGCTTCATGCATGAACTCTTCGACACGAGCCTCTTGGTCTTGTAATTGTTTTAAACTGGAAAATATGTAAAAATTACTTTTACATAGTATACCATATATATTAGGCACCGTACACAGTAAATTATTTTCTAATTGATACAAAAAGAAGCTAGCAGTTTGGTTGGTAGAGCGATGGTTTTCTCTAAGAATAACTTTCAAATGACTGTTCAAACTAATAAAGTTCATTTTAGTCGCGCGCCTTTATTGTAAATACCGTATTTAATCTAATAGGCACGCCGAACCTAATTTATGCCTAATCTTGTTATAGTAATGGCTCAACGTCACACAAGAAATTTGCCTGCTATATCTGGATCTATACACTTCTATGCTTACCCTCTGCTCCATTTTTTGTATTTCTCATCTATCTCTTTCTGTCTTTCAGATTTCTCTTTCTGCTTCCGCCTTTCTTCCGAAGTTTCTCTTTTGCCTGTAAATCATTATTTTGTTCAGAACATCCGATTCGAAAAGACAGTACTATCATTAATTTTAGGAAAGTTGACTGGTTTATCCAAACTAATATTATAAATGCGAAAGTGTGAGAGGTCGTCAGAGTCCCAGGAAAGGCCATAAGATAATTTTTAGGGGTCCGTTCAAAAGGTAAAAAAGGAACCCTTATAAGATCACTATCTTGTCCGTCTGTCCGTGTGTCACCACCGATTTTCTCAGGGACGGGTAGACCTAGTAAGTTGAAATTTATACCAGATACTGAGGTCTATGGTCCCTATTAGGTGTATAAAAATCAAGGTCCTGAGTCAACACGATAAAAATATATGGGCAAATTTCGATTTTCGCGAAAACTTGTAAGTACCAAAATTTACCTTAATTTTCAACTTTTTTTATTTTTAAGAATTTTCTCTTTACTTGTGCTGTAAGAGCTTGCTTTTAACTAAAATTGTCAATTCTAAGTCAACCGGAAGTACCCTATAGGTTTTGGGTCGAAAACCTATATGGTAGTTCCCATTGACCCTAGAATCACGAAATTTGGCAAAAAAAACGTCTTACAGCACAAATAAAGGAATAATGCCAAAAAATAAAAAAAAAGTTAAAAATGTATATAAATTTTGGTTCTTACAAATTTACGCGAAAATCTGAGTAGGAACCCTCGGCGCACGAGTTCGACTCGTACCTGACCGCTTTTTTATCCCAGAAATCATCCTTTAAGGGTGTGGAAGTTTGTATGGGGAATCAATAACTGCTGAACTGATTTAGATGAAATCTTGTGTGAAGATACCTTGATACTTGGGGAAAGATAAAGGTTAGTTTTAACCGCGATAACCGACATTTACGCGGGCGGAGCCGCGGGCAAAAGCTAGTATATTTTAAATTTTAAATAATGGTAATACACCAATTGGAGTGTTAAGCAATTATCGTTTACTATACCATTTCTTCTCTGTCAAAGACTCATGTTAGGTGGCTACTTTTAGTAGTCGCTACAGAAGGCGGTCTTTGATATGGCACATACTGTGCAGAAGTTGTGGTCTCTGAAGCTCAAGCCATCAGTAACTTCGTTTATTTATAAAATAAAATATTAACAATGAAAACAGTATAGAACTATTTTAATATTTATAAATACAAAGCAATTGTAAAATTGCTATGTAAAATGTGTTTGTGTTAAATAGTTTGTAATTTAGACTACAATATCACATTAGATTTACCCTGTAAGGAATAAATAAATACATTTTCAAATATAATTTAACAAATTGAAATTTTGATTACTTGTTATTGCGACAATCTGTATAAGAATAATTATTTCCAAACCTTTTCTAGACACAGCCTTAGCAGTCCTTCCTGATACCTCATCAGACATCTTGTTGAACACTTCGTCTTCTCTCCTTCTGAAGTCATCATTTTCCTGTCTGAGTTGTTTTGCATCTTGCAAGCCTGCCATCTTGCCCTCAAGTGTTCTTGCCATTTTCTTGTTTGTTGGTGGGGGACTGTTATTATTTCTCATACTCCTATCCCTCTCAGAAATATTCTTGAGTCTTCTAGGAGGAGATTGGTCAGAGTCACTATTATATTTTCTTTTGTTTCTTTCTGGCGAATTTCTCGTTTTTCGAGGTGGTGATGGATCTGAATCATAGGAATTTCTGTGCTTCTTTGAATGTTCTTGTCTAAAATTATTATCAATATGGGTTTTACGACTGTAATTTTGTTCATGTGGAGAATACTTTCGTCTTTTGGAAGGAGAATAAGATTCCTGTGTGCTGTGTTTTGTAGATTTTCTTATAGGTGATTTAGGTGCATAGTCTTGCCTGGACTTTCTTGGTGGAAGCTGGTCAGAATCATGTTTCTTCTTATGTTTTCTTTGTGGCGACAAGTCAGACTCATATTTTTTTGGTTTCCTTGGAGGTGAGTCATCTGAACTCTGTGATCCTCTCCTGTGCATATTTTTTTTTGATCTTGGTGGGGACTGGTCAGAATCATATTTTTTTGATTTTCTTGGAGGTGACACATCTGAACTCTGCGACTGTCTTCTGTGTGAATCTTTTGATTGCTGGGTCCCTTCCTCTTTGCTTCCCCATCGACTCGGTTTTCTGACTCTCTCATTTGATTTATTAGGTCGTGGAGGAGAGACATCCGAGTTATTGTTATTACGATGGTTTCCATTTTGTTTCCTGGGCGGACTAAAATCACTGTCACTGTCATGCTTTCTTGAAGGTTTTGAGCTTTTCTGGTGTTCACTTGTCTGCTTTCTAGGGGGAGAGATGTCTGAATCATTGTTTTTCTCATCTTCAGAGTCACTGTACATTTTCCCAAAAATTAATTCATTCTCTTTGTCTGTTTCTTTTATGTCTCTTTTAATTTCTTCTACTTGAAGTTTACTATTGAAGCCATCATCCTAAAAAGACGAAAGAATTTAATCATTGTTTCTTATTTATATGGACATTCAGTAGTTCTTACACAATAGAAATCATAAAAAAAAAACAATTTGGTAATTGGTACCAAGTGATCAATTTTTTAACTTAATTTATTGATGCAGGCTGTGAGATAAATAAAGTAGATATAATCTAAAAAGAGATTTCCAATTAGTTTCTTACAATAAGACAATAATGTTGGATCAAATCTTTATAAAGTGTCTTATATTAACATTTATAGTTCATTTTTTGTGATTTTTTGTCATTGGCTACCCAATAGGTCTTTCCATGAATATTCTCCAGAAGAGCCTAGTGTGGCAAGTAGCCAATGCGAGAGGCCCATGTCCAAAAGTGGACTGTTATAGGCTCTTGATAATGAATACTATACTTAGTCCAAAAAATGTGCTGAACCAATCTCAAAATAGGTGAAAAATAAAAAAAGTCTGCCTGACAATATGGTTATTCTTACATGGCTAGTTTTTCACAGCTTTAAGTATTAAATTCTACTGCAAAACCCATACTAGGTAGTGGTAATTTATTAAACCTAGAAAAAGTTTAAAATGTCTTACATATAACTTTATAAAGTTCTCAATAGTCATTTAAAAAATTTCTATCAGTTGAATCAATAAACAGCCTTTAATAGTCAACTGCTGGACATCTCCTTAGAAAGGATGTTTTGGGCTACTTTACCACACTGGCCAGACAGGTTGGTAAAGGATTTGTTTCAAGTTTTCCTTCTCTTTGTAGTGCTGTTGTCCTGCAGAGTTCGCTCCCTTAGCCGGCTCTTATGACACCCACAGGATGAACAGGTATGGTGACATTCCATATTCTTAATCCATCACTACACGGACAACAGTACAGTTGAATACAAACAGCTATGTTATTTGGTAAAATAATTAAATATTACATTATAAAATAATTTATACCTGACTAACAACTTTCCACTTAGAGCTAGTTTTTAAAGCCTCCAGTTGCTTTAGCTCTTCGGGCCTTTCATCAATGATACCGGCTACTTGTGGAGCGTCTTCACCCTCATCAAATATATCTAACTCGTCACCATCAAGGGCCCGGAGTTTTGACAAGTCAATGTCATCATCAATAATTTTAAACCTGGGAATGTTAATAAATCTTTAATGTTTATTGAATTTAGAGGTAAAGACTTTGACAATGCTCAATTTTTAGGTTATATTATGGTAAATAAAGTTAAAATGTTTATTTATAAGTAGCTTAGATTAGATAATATTATTATTTTATGTCACTTGTGTTTCCCACTGCTAAATTTGATTCATACACACAATTTTTCGATTTCATATTTTGAATAAAAATATTCAGCTATATTTGCCTGTCCAGAACACAATAACACGTTCGCAAGCGTGTAAATTAAATGGCATCCAAGCGTTTGTAACGGCTTGGAGCTTGTGGACGTTGGCCAAGCCATATGTGATTGTATGTTCAAACGAGTACGACACAACTTACACTACGACAAGATAAATAACTGAAGTAAATTAGACTTTAGTTTAGTTGACCACAATTTATAAGAATAATAAAAACAATAAATTACAATTTATGAGTAAAAGATGACTTACCCTTTCCCCTTAGGAGCCTTTTTCTTTTTTTTCTTCTTGTCTCCCGACGACCCGCTTAAGTATTTTTGTAAATAAGCTTTCTGGTCAACTTTATTAGACATTTTGTTATATTTCTTCTTAATTTAGCTTTGATGTATTGTTTATAATAATTTAATGTTGGACTAACAACAGACGCCAGAGTCAGAACCACAGACTGGTATAATGGGTATAATGTACTAATGTAGCAAGCTAACAATAGTACTCTGTGATAGTCAGAACTCAGACAAATTTGCATGAATGAAGCTTATTTATTTTTGACAGATAAGTTATCACTCTTAGTGTTGCAACTTAAAAACAGATATACTACTACACGACTGATTTGTGGCATGTAGTATTCAGTAGTAATAGTACGGATCGTATTGAATGAAAAAATTGAGCCGAAGCGGGAGTTCTGGCAGATGTGAAACTTCGACATTATTTTGTAGAAATAATGAATATAATATCACTATGATAATCAGCGTCAGAGAGTCCCAAAGTAAGGGAGAGGCCACACGATGCGGTCCGTGCAGCTCCGGCGCGGCGTCTGTGCGCTAGCGCTGCAGCGTAATACATAGAAATGTCCATTGTATGCTACACGGAGTGGTGCGGTGCCAGGACTGTTTCTGCCTCCCACGAATGGCTGCTACCCGCTGCGTTTGATTAAGCTCAGTTCGGCAGCGGGAGGAGGACAATAGGCGTTTGGCCCATATCGGCGCTCCGTAGAGGGCCATGGATCGTATGACCTCACAGTAGAGGCAGAGGACTTCCTGCCGCGCACCCCCTAAATTACGAACTCAACATCCAAATGCTGAGGTATTTGATGTGCCACGTGACCTCGACCTCTGTTCCCCACAATCCAATAAGCGAGCCGGTGGAAACTGCACCACTGCGCTTTCTGTGGAACCACAGGGCTTCCGTCTTATGAGGTACAATCCTTAGACCCAGACTGCTGATATTTTGGACAACACAAGCCATCCCTAACCATATATCGATACGAGTACACCAGTGGCTCATTAAAGGCCCACCACGGGAAAGAATTAAAGGCGTTGACTATGTCAAGACTGACGGCCAATGCCACTCCCCGCGACAGACAATCTCTTCTGATATGGGCGACGGTAACTCTTTCTAACAGCTTCGCCACCCCGTCCCGAGGGCATGTCGGTCGGAACCTGCATTTCTGCCCGGTTTCTGGATAAGTACCAGCCTGGCTTATTTACCGTCGGAAAAGAATACGCTATTACGCTTGGTCCAGCTCTTCATTCGTCACGTCGAGTCGTCGACGGTGACGGGAGCATGAGAGACTACCCTGGTCCCTGGGGAAGAGGGTATCTATCACTCTTCCCATAAACTCCAAGTCTAAGTTTTGCGTCAGCGGGGAGACCCACGAGCTAAAAGCACAACCCACCGCCAAGGTGGATTCCAAACAAAACAGGTCTTCTCCGATCCAGAAGCACAGGCTGTTTCCGTGGCTGGTTCCGTGACATCATGACTAACGTCTGTGACGCGTCAATGCCACGGGTCAGGCCGAGGGGTAGGAGAATGATGATGTCACAGAATCAAGCAGCCTGCGCTTCTGGATCGGACAAGACCTGGCCTGCCCTTCAGTTTACGCTTGCGGGCCTGAGATGACTGTGAGGAGACAGAGAAAACGACGAAGCGTTGTTATCCCCGGAATCCTCTCGCTGCCATTCTATTCCTTGGCCTTCCACAGGCTCTGTAGTTGGGCGCTCCATCGTTGGCGCCTGCCTACTTCCTCTTCCTCGTTCGCCCGTCTGTGTGTGGGAAATTGAGTTTTTTTTTATAGCGGTTTTCTTCTCTTTGACAGTCGTATATCTAGAAAAAAGACCCCTGGTCCCGATAAGTCAGCAACTGCGGGTCGGGTCATCCGGTTGCCGGTGTTCAGCATTGACCGCCGCCAGTTGCTCTCACACTCCTCGTGCTAGGGACCACATTAGCCGCGCCAGTGACATAATGTCGCGTGTACCGTCTTCGTCGGTCTATCTACTGTTGGTCGTCGCATCGGACGCCGTGGTTTGGTCTTTGGAAGGCTCCCATTACAGACCTACCATTACATCAAATGCGAATGGCTGTGGACGTGACGACGCGTCGCCACAGAATGCGTCGTCGCTTTTTGTGGGAGTATATTTTTAAAAATTTCTATGTTTCACATCTGCCAGACACCCCTAGACGGCTCATTTTTTTACTATGATGATTACTTTTGTAGCTCCTTGATTTAAGATTGAAAAGAAGAGAGAAGGGCGCTCGAGTCTATTCGCTTTGCTTGGTTCGGATTCGGATGATACGAGCTCTACTCTCAAGGTGCCATGGTGCATCAAAAAATTCATGACGTGGTACGTACTCAGAAGCGCGCGGTTTCAGTGCGTTTTATAGAAATTATAGAAAGTAGAATACCATATACCGTATCGAAAAGTTTCGATAGTCCAAATATTAGGTACCTATACCTATTACCTATGAAGTTGGAGATTTAAATGAAATTTTATAATATGAAATTTTTGGTATTTTTTTATTTTACGTAATCAAAGTACGTGCTCAAATCATGTATACAATTTTGTAACTTTGATGGCAGGGCAGTTTGTTTATCCCTTTACTGTAGAAGTATGCTGGACGGGAGGCGTTGAAGTCAGCGTAAGCGTTTTGTACTGCCAAGAAAAGGTGGTCTCTTAAATAATAATCTCAAGATTTAATGAATTTTTTTATTTCGTTTACTGCAGTTTATACTTTATTAGTAGGTACATTGATTTATAATGTTAAAAAAGGTAATACATAAATCGAATCCGGTGAGCTATTGTTCTGTTGTGTTATTGTATTGTTATGATATTTTTCAGATTAGTTGAGGTGATCACTGACGCTTTCCACGTGAAAACTGAAAAATTAACGATATTCATAACATATATTAGGGTAGGTAATCAGGAAACCTTGTGGGAGGCCTTGACCCAGGAGTGAACGTCTTTCGGTTGAGATAATGATGATATTATAAATAAACATAATAAAATTGAAGTGTTTTATGGTATACAGGTATACTGAGCAAATAAGCAAACCTGTCACCTGGTTGGTGTCACATGGTTAGTGACCACCGCCGTCCTATAAGCGTGTAGAGTTAGAGAGGAGGTGGGAGGGCTTCCGGTAACCTCACTTAATCGCGCCTTACAGAAAAACCGGAATTGATTGAATGAAATAAACAACCAAAGAATTTCTTAACACTAGACATGGCAAGTCTTACTTTTAAATAATATTTATTTGATGAAATGATTAGTTTTGGTCACAACCATTTCACATGTGATTGTGATTTCGTCATAGACAAAGATAAATGGTATTAAAATCAATCAAAAATTATTTTTTATCAAAGCGTTTAGTCATTAATAAATAATTAAGTAGCAGTGGTTTTGTAAGTCAGTCATAGGGGTGATGATTTGATTTATCACATGTGATTGTGATTTTATTCCATCCGTACATAACACCAGTTTTCTATGAGGTCGTGGCCGAATACTGAGCCAGTGCTATGGTAACCAATGTTTCCAAATACATACATATAGCACATTCTAGGATGAATTGCCGTGCGTTTGGACCATTCTGCCATACTCATTACAGAAATGAAATGTAGTTCACTTAGGACCCATATTGTGTCATGTTCGTGGTGCTTCCCTGTTTAAAAGGGTATATTTTTGCTTCATAATTGTATCCCGCTTTGCTAAGGAGGAAAGTGGATTTACCTATTACACAATTCCAACTCCTCCAATTTACTTTTGATTCATTTCATTGCAGACTCTAAGACAGTTTAATTTTTGCTGGGACTGTTCGAGTGTTATAACTCGGCGTGTTCTCTGGTTACTTCAGTTGATCCTGGTGTACAGGGGATACACTAGTGGTCGTGTGGGCAATCCCACACTCGCCTAAAACATGATTATACCATAAAAGTCGTCGTTCATCGAAAAATTCCCGTTTACTTCCAAAACTACTGTATCATTTCTTTCATAACATAACCGAAATTAATGTTTGTAATTTGAATCTTACAGTAGCAGCAGATGATGACACACATCTGACATCTTTTCTTGGTAATATAATATGCAACGTCAACATTATTACTTGTTGTTGTTGTTGCAACGAATATTTCTTTTTTAATGAAAGTTAAAAACTAGAGAAAAAAATGATAAGCTTTTAAAAACAAACATAAATCTTTTTAAACTTGAAAGTGCTTGTTACTTACTTTTACGAGTACTATTTTATATTGAAAAAAAAAAAAATGATTTAACCTAAAGCGATTATAAGTTATTCCATAATTTGTATATATACATATATTATTTTGTATTTGTATGCAATGGGAGCGGCCTATGTCCAACAGTGAACTGCGATAGGCTGATGGTGATACAAATATGTATTTTTCACCGAATAAGAAAGGTTACAGCACGACTAACCACCCCTCCCCCTGATTCCGTGTGGGGGCTAACGCATATATATAAATACACGCTTAAATATTACACTAAAATATTTTTCAAAAATTAGAATTAACGTAAATTTGCCAGAATATTGATTATGAAGTCGGCAAGTTAAGTGTTATAAATGTAACAAAATCTAATGTGTTTTTTAAATCTTATCTTCATCATCTCTTCTTCTTCATCTTCTCATCTTCCACTTTTATCCATCTTATCTTAGAATTCACCAAAAGGTTCGAAAAAAGATAAGTTATTTTTAAGTTATCGGTATAATTACAGTATGCCAGCATAATTGTAGTTTGAATAAGTTATTATAATGTGGCAGAACCTTGCTTCTGCACAATTCTGATGGTTTGACTGGATTGATAATACGGCCCCACAAAAAACCCCTGCTAAGCAATGCTTCCAGTGCTTTTCTGACTGAGCCTGGAGACCTAACCCTTAATACTTCGTGGTGAGTCAAAGAGCGGCAACGCATTTGTGGCTCTTGAGATGCAGGTGACCATTGGCGTCGGTAATCACTTACCATCAGGGGACCCGTCTGATCGCTTGCCCCGAACAAAAGCAAGGAAGCCAAGATACTCTGGCGTTCTGGGAAACAGATAAAATAACTGGTAACCTAGGAACAGTTTCCATTACAAAATATTGACTCGATTTAAAAATAATTTAATATAAATATAATAAATAGTTTATATTATCATTTACATCAATTACAACTATGTTACGTCTTGATCAGATCAGTTATGCAACTTAACAATCACAATTTATTAGGCATTTTTTGTAATGTCTCAATAAAATTGGTAAGGTGAACTACTAATTCCATTGGAGCTTTTATACCTCTTTAGGTATTAAAATACATTATTAGATATCTTGATGACAAATGTTATACAACAATATTAATAAATACTTACGTCCGCTTCGTTGGTAAAATTCATGTCCTCGTCACGTCTGTCACTCTGCCTCTAAAACATTTTTCAATAATTAGAATTATTACTAATTTTCAAGACTGATTAGGAAGTCGGTATGTTTTATAAATATTACAGTATCCAATAGACATGGCAATTATTGCTACTTTTAAATCATATGCAATTGATGAAATGATTGATTTTAGTAACATGTGATTGTGATTTCGTCTCTTTATGAAGTCGGTAAGTTAAGTTTTATAAATTTAACAGTACCTATCTCATGTTTTTGTTTATATTACCATCTTATCGGTGACAAAAGAGAAGTTATTTTTACGTTATTGTTATCAATAATATATGCTCTAACATAACTGTAGTATAAATAGGTTTAATTAACTTGTTGGAGCCATGGTTTGGCAGAAATATGTCGGCTCTACCGGAATTATAGGCTAGACCGGCTCACAGACAACCCCGGCTTAGATATACTTTCGGTGCTTTTCACCGAGTGAGTGCAAAAACTGGAGAGCCAACCCTACCCGCTTTTAAAGCTTCGGAGGAGCTCAATCGGTAGACACTCATTTGTGGTTCTTGAGTGACAATTGGCGTCGGTAACCACTTACCATTCCTTGACCCGACTGCTCATTTGCCCCCTTATTTGATTTAAAAATTCGGTTAATCTGGATACTATTCACTATTGCGTCGGTATATAGAGGAGTTTGCTCATAACTTTAATTTTTTTTATAGCAAGCAATTAATCATTTCTACGGCATAATTGAAGTCTCAAAGGTATTTTAATACCGCAGGCAAGCAACCGGGTATCGCACGTAAATCAATGAAACAAAAAGGCAATGAGGGGACCATGTGACATGTGATGTTAAATAATCCTAGGTTTGTGGGAAACAGCCAAAATAACTGGTAAACAGTTCACATCAACAAAATTGGAAATAAAATAATTGAAATGTAAAGAAATTAATTAATATGTAAATTAAAAAGAATTTGACTGTTAAGAGGGTAACTCTCAACGGGTATAAAACACAAGGTCGTATCATCTTTTACAGTAATAACCCCTTTTTTTTGTTGACGGGGTAGTAAATCCCTACGTATCTCCTGCTGCCCAGGAACTCAGGAGCCAGGAGCATGTAGTGTTTCCACTAAAAACCACACCGACGGCCAGCCTTAGGCGCCCTACTCTGGAAGGACCAGGATAGCAATTACCCTTAAGTTACGTCTTGTTACGCATAATCATAATTTATTGGGCAATTTTAGCAAGGTCCCTTTATAATCGGAAAAGTTTAACTTGTGACTAATTCCCTTGAAGGTTATGTACCTTTAAGTATTAAATTATGTCATAGATATGTTTTTGACAAATGTAATGCAACATTAATTAATACATACGCCCGCTTCGCTGGTCAAATTCATGTCCTCGTCACGTCTGTCACTGCGCCACTAAAATATATTTTTAATTAGAATTATTCCTAATTTTCAAGACTGATGCCGAAGTCAGTGTGTTTTATAAATATTACAGTATCCAATAGACATGGCAATTATTAACTACTTTTAAATAATATTCAATTGATGAAATGATTGATTTTAGTGACAGTGATTTCACATGTGATTGTGATTTGTCATAGACAAAGATAAATATGCCATTAAAACCAATCAAATATTTTTTTAGAAATTCAGATCATGATCAGATCAGAGATTACGACCATTTTTTTAGATTTCGATCTTTCGCGAATATTGCGCTAGCGTTTAAATAATAATAAGTCGCAGTGGTTTTGTGACTTAGTCACACGTGTGATGATATGACTTTTTAAATCATATGATGTGTGATGTGATGTGATTGATATTTTGTTCTATCCCTAGTATCTATATCTATATCCTAGATTGTTACTGCAAATTGGTATTTCAGTTGTTGACTAACAAAGAAAATGTTAGACAGCAGCGCCCAAGAAGCAGAATCCTCCTCTACCATAACAACGCTCCTGCTCACTCCGCCAGACGGAGTATCGAATATTTGTCTATCGAAGGCGTGTGTGTGACATTTATTGATTTCCAGCAACAAAAGACAAACTTAGAAGAATTCGTTTTATGAACCAAGAAGATATAGATATGGAGATATGAAGATTCACTGACTGCGTTTGAAAAAGTTGTGGAAGAGATCCTAAAGAAGAGTGCACTCAATGCTTTAGTCAATAGTTCCATCGCATGCGACCTGTGCTTAGAAAGGAACGGAGACTACTTTGAAAAGGAATAATAATATTAAGAGGCATCTATATCCGTTTTTAGCCCCCGACGGTGTTATAAGTTGAACCTGTGTATCTGCGTATCTGTCTGTCTGTTTGTGGCGACATAACTCCCGAACGGATAGATCAATTTCGATGCGGATTTATGTTCAAAAGTCGATGTGATCGAAATGGTTCTTAGCTATAAATTTTGAAGATTATCAGCTCAATTCCTAGGTGATGAAGTCATCTCACTAAAATCCACAAGACCGATTGATCTGAAATTTGCTATACTGATACTTTGTATTTTGACGTCATGGTAACCTGCAACTTGCTGCTGCATCAAGTAGTCTGCAAGTAGTAGCCAACTCCTCTGAGAATTACAGTATATGTATACCATATTTGGGCTTATTAGAACAGTCTCATTGAGAAGTTGTTGTTTTTTAAAGTTAAAGTTTTAAACCCCTCTGCTCCTAATTCTGAAGAGGGGGACGACTTAAAAGGCGGCAATGCATTTGTGACCCTTGAGTTGTAGGTGTCCATGAGCGGCGGTAGTCACTTACCATCAGGTGACCTGTCTGCTCGTTTGCCACCTGTACCATAAAAAAATGAATGCAAATGTAAGTTTGATTGTTTCTTTGTTAATCTTAACTACTCAACCGCTGAAAAATTTATTGTTGGGCGTTGAGCAATGATCCTCAAACAGACATAAGTACCTTTCGTCCAGAAAAAAGAATTCTAATAATACTTAAATTGATGTTCAAAAGCTATTTCAAAATAAATAAAAATAAAATATATTTTTAATTAAGGTACTTACATCATCATTTGATCTGTGCGATCTGCTTTCAATGAAACTTGATTTATCCCGATTATCATCCCTTCTATTATCTCGTCTATCATCACTTCTGCTATCACGTCTATCATCCCTTCGGTTATCACGTCTATCATCACTTCTGCTATCACGTCTATCATCCCTTCGGTTATCACGTCTATCATCACTTCTGCTATCACGTCTATCATCCCTTCGGTTATCACGTCTATCATCACTTCTGCTATCACGTCTATCATCCCTTCGGTTATCACGTCTATCATCACTTCTGCTATCACTTCTATCATAACTTCTGCTATCACGTCTATCATCCCTTCGGTTATCACGTCTATCATCACTTCTGCTATCACGTCTATCATCCCTTCGGTTATCACGTCTATCATCACTTCTGCTAACACGTCTATCATCCCTTTGGTAATTACTTCTATCATCACTTCTGCTATCACGTCTATCATCCCTTCGGTTATCACGTCTATCATCACTTCTGCTATCACGTCTATCATCCCTTTGGTTATCACGTCTATCATCACTTATGCTATCACGTCTATCACCTCTTCTGTCGCTATTCCTTCTGCTATGTTTCTTGTCATCTTTTTTATGGTCACTCCTAGTACTTTTTCCAGCAGCATTACTATCTTTTTTATGGTCATTCTTTAAATTTATTGTGTGGTCATCGTCACTACTTTTAGTTTTGTGAGCATCATGACTATTTTTATTATCATGATGTTTAGAATCATGTTCAGCGTGCTTATGACCTTTAGATTTGGAAGTTTTCAATCTCAAATCATCCTCTCCATCACTATCATGTGATTCATCTCTTCTGTAGCTATTTACCGTCCAAGCAGAGCGTCGTACTCGACTATCGTCACGTCGACGGTCATCGTTTCTGCTCTTGGAACTACTAGGGAATGAATCTAGTAACCGTGGCCGTTCACGTCTGAATCGTTTCGAACGTTTGCTGGAATTATTTAATCTCATCTCTTGTTCGTGAAGCTTCGCCTGTTAAAAAATATTAATTAAGTAAGGAAAGTGTTAAAATATGTGTTAATAATACAAATTAACCTTAAAAGAAAATAATTTTTGTTTCTTTTTTCCGAATTCAAATCCAAAATAAAACATATTATAATTTAGATTCCCCTAGTTACCTCATTATTTGTATGAAAAGGTAAGTTAATTTAAGTGACTATATGATTAAGAAGAATCTTTGTGAATATAAGGTATTAAATAATTATTGAGACCTATTTTTTAGCGTTCCATGTATTTACCGTGCGGGTGCCGGGTCCATTTCGTGATAGATGGGGGCAACACATGCGACTTTGACAGCGACTGGGACTTGTGACCCAGGTATGCGACACGTCAGCGCGCTCACCTTCACTGTCTGCTGTGTTACCGCCTCTACCTAACTATTATTCGTATTCAAAATTCGTTTAAGAAAAGAGCTCACTGAAGCTTTTGGCAATCCAAGGTCTTTAAGCAGGTTATAGAGAGATTTAGCTGGTATACCCCTCGCACCCACTTCCATGGCACACAATGCAACGACATAACCATTTTTAGTTATTTTGTTGGTTAAGTCAAAGTACCTGTTTTTTTTTAAAGCGTGGTCTTTACGGATGTTCGTTTCCCACGGCACCGTGACTTCTACTAGTACTACACGCTTAATTGTAATTGCATAAAGAAATATGTCTGGTCTGAACGACGAGGCACAGATATCCTCCGGTATTCTGTACTGATTTTTATACGTGTCCACTAATCAAGTCCAGTCACTGGCGGTATTTATAATTGAGTACGGCTTTTGTGAAGTCTGTTTTGTTGAGCCTTCCTTTACAAACGCGATGTAAGCCCTTATGTTTGTTGTTATTCCTTTTTTTTTTTTTCGCCTATCATTACAACGTGAATAATGACCTCGGTCTAATAGCGCCTTACAACCTGTCAGTAAGAGCCAGGCTGTACCTATTTCTGCACTGCACATCGTACAAGCCTTTTCTGTAGCTTTTCCCACCTTTCTAGGTTGCTTTGATGGGGGAGAGTCAATTAAAAGGCCAATCGTATAAAAGTGTGCACCATTTCAAAGCTGGTGCGATACAAAATTCTCCTAGAGTTAACCATTCATTCTACATTTCTAGGTTCATTGCGTGGACGAACGAACGAAAAAATCGAATGATAAATAACAGTTCATTGTGATTTTGTCCCATGTCTACTAAGAAGTATGGTGACAAGTGGCGATAAGTATCCGATCCTAAACTGTTTGAGTTATAGTTTATATTCTCTTATTCAACTGTCACTTTCGAACAATTCCATCCCTTCTTACATACTTTTACATATTTAATTCATATTGAACTCCCAATTTACTCATCTAATCCCTGAAGTTTACGCTTAACGGCAATATCTTTACCCTCCATGATAAAATGGAGGTATACATACGTCTCTACCTAGCCTCAGAAACCAAAATTTCTGTTTATTAATTTTATGAGATAATGATACATTTTTCACGTACAGCTTCAGGAGAACACCTTGTGGCGTTGCACATCACTACGCGTATTGCATATCACTACGCCTGTAGTGCCTGTTACATCACTCTCCGACGCGATGACGTAGTTCCGCTACCGCGGGACGCTCTCTTGGACAGACGGTCAAAATAGTTTGGAACACAAAGACATGTCTCGTCCGATACCGTAGTTAGTAAGTGAACTGTATTGATGTCTGTAAATTCGCCATCGTGAATAATTAATATTATAAGGAATAGACACAAAAATCAAGTGTTTTCTTTTGGACTTCAACAAACCAAAACCTAATATATTAATGCACGTATAGAGTAAATTTTTCCTTCGGGTCACGGCTATCATAAGTTTGGAAATTCCTTTCACGACAAGTTAAAAACAGAGGATTTGAATTAAATTACCACATAGTAGTCAAGATCATCTTGGCCCATCTTGTGTGGAAATGGTGCCGGGTGCTGATTGACCTGTAAAACATCCACCATTTTGAGACAATAGTTGGATTATCAACGAATAGTATTCAAAAACACATCAACAAATAATAATAAAATATAGAAAGCTAGATTGACTGATAGAATATTTATATCCTTTTTTTTTATAAATACATACATATTATACCTAGAAAACAGGAACCTATATACTGTACTGTATAACCTATATACCTAGAAAAACGGAATACTGCCATAGTTTTTTCCTATTGATAAAAAATACTTACTAATTTGAAAATTGTTGAAGTGAGTAAACTTGACATCATTTTCGCATCCAAATTTAACAAAATAAATCGACATATTAGTAATAAAACTTATACAGTATCTTGAAAGTTTCAAATAAGAACTTATGTTAATAAGCAGGGGGTCGATTTTTAGACCTCGTCGACCCCCAAAATCAATTTCGTTTATGTCAACCTTTGGGAAACAATTTGACAATTTTGGGAATTTTGGACAATGGACAATTGGACAATGGACCTTGGATAATTTTGGGAATCCCTGATCTTGATCATGGACTAACATCAGCCTGCTTACGTCAGTAAGGTGGATGAATTTCTATTTAAGTTTTTAATATAATTTTCAATAGAATCATAAAATCTTAAAAACGTTAACTATCCCTGGCGCTAGACTTCATTCATCTAAAATCTATTTTAAGCTTTGCCATGTTAGGTTACCTATTTTGATTAAAATTCGCGAAAGCGTAAAAAGAATAAACTGATAATAAAATACATACCCTTAAACTACTGTCTCGAAAGTTACTGCTGTGTGCCCGTGACTGCGAATGTTGAATTGTGATATATTTTATATTTTAATCACACAAACACTTTACTTTGGAAAAATATTTCTTGAATAGCGTGTTCGTAACATTTAAAAAAGCTTGTTTTAGTGATACTAATAAAAGTTTTCATAATTGCTTCATATGGTTTTAAATAATATGGCAGGAGGAACTGAATACTCTTTTTACTCGATTCATGTAGCTTAACGTAATAGGAAATTTCATCAGTGTTCTATCGTGGGAGAATTCTGCTTCATCACATATGGGCTAACTCGACCGGAGTGATACTACTTGCGTCATAGATAACCTGCCGGGGTCAGCAAACTCTTTCGTTACATTTCACCGGTGCGAGCTAGTCTAGGTAGTAGCTAGTATGAACATTCAACAGATTGTGGCAACGCACTTGTATCTTTTGAGTTGTTGGTGTTGTACCTAATGGTAAGTGACTACCAATGTCGCAAGCGTGTTGCCGCCCTCCGATTGGCTCAGAATCATGAATGATTGAGGTTAAAAGTATAAAAGTAAATGCTAGCAAAATGAGGGTTTTATTCTTCGAAGGAGATAAAGAGAGGACTGCTTGTGATGAGATTGACAATAAATTCGTAAAACCAGTGAATGAGTACATTTAACTGAGAAGTATTTTTAAGTAAACTACCCTAAAGTCTTCATCTTCACCCTGAACATTCTCTTACTCATTGGTATGAGCAATGTAAATTTCCAATGATTGCTATCTTTCTTACCTAATTTTTCTTTCATGTTTCATTTATATTGAACTTCCATCTGAATCCTGAAGTGTCCTCTTAATGGTAATAAATTCGCCCTCTTTACCGTAAGTGGACTTTTAAGGCTGTTGATGATGATGATGAATTGAAATGGAGCTATAGGTCTCTACCTAGCCTCAACGACTTCTTTCACGATAACTTAAATCAGACGATTTAAAAAATAATTACCCGAAAGTTGGCAGCGTCATCCTGTCTGTTAGACAGGGGTAGTAATGGTCCCGGGAGCTGATCGTCCTGCAAAATGTGATTCATATTTTGATTCAAGTTCGATCAATGAGTAGTATTTCAAGCTGAACGTCAACAAAAACACGCATTCCTAGATCGTTCCAGATAGATTTATATATCTCTCGTGATATTTAAATTATTCCAATATGTATACCTAAAAAATATAAACAATAAAGCTTTATCTAAACTTATTAAATACTAATTATGCATCATTCAGTTTTATCAAAGTGGTGGTAAACAAACGGACATAACGTCAGGACAGCTACGCTAGTAGTGGGAACAATTCCACGGAGTACTCCCCATTTTTCAAGCGATAGGGCCAAGCAACACCAAGGGATCAAGTCGATTCGAAATATTGTGACAATCGATTACTTAAATCTAGGCCTAGGTGCCTGGTAATTTATTTATCAATTAAATGTAGCGAAGTATGCAATACCGATTGAGAGATCATTGACACTTGCGCGCTTACAGATTGCAGTGTGTCTACAAATTGCGAGTTCTGGCGACAACTTTATGATGCCAATTACTCAATATTTTTGTACCATGTGATACTAAACTTAAATGCGGGTTTCTCCTAAATTTGACTAAAGATTCTTCTATATTAATATGGAAATTAAAAGTCACCTGTACATATATGTGTGTACCGATATACTCACTATACAATGTGATTTTGGTAAATCATATTTTTTAGTTTCCAAACAGACAGACGAAGTTGCAAGATCGTTAGTTAACAATTTTCATCTGAAATATGAAGCTTCTACTGATAGCGACTGACAGAGATGATCAGTTTATGTCACCTACATTTCAAATAATGTGTAAATTATTACAAAAATAATTGCAATTAAAACAACAGTTGCATTCTAGAGCTTATCAATACCAGAGCGTAGGTGCGTTACAAGTGTCTCACAAAAAGTTAAATTGTTTTCTTAGAACACATACTGCTAAACACCCAGAAACGGAACTTCCTTTTTGGTGTTTTGCATATAATACATCAGTACATTCAGGAATCAAGTTTATGCTATGTGAATTACTATTCGGAAAGAAGTGAATTCTACCTATTAATTTAAATAAAAACAGCAGAACCGATATATAATTACGAAAGTTATCCATGTGAATTAAAGTATCGTTTACAGCTATCTCAAAAAAAGGAAGGTATTTTTTAAAATTAATAGTAAGATTAAAAGAAAACCTATTTATGATAAATATACAAATCCTGTAAAATATAATGCAAATGATCTAATATAAGTAAAAAATAAAGTAAGTAATAAATATGATGATTTACTCTTAAATTCAGGTCCTTATAAAGTAGTTAGAGATAAAACACCTAATGTTGAAATATTTAAAAATAATAAATTGGAAATTATTCATGAAAAAAAACTACGTTATAAAAACTGACTTCAATAACTGAAAAGTATAAAATAATTTAATAAAGATTAAATTTAATACACCTCTTATGCAAACCTTTAATATTAATAAAATACTATTGTTTGTATGTGCTATCTATTGTTAGGTTTCAATTCGGTGCCAAGCCCTAACAAAATAAAACTTAATATTATAAACAACTTACTGTTATGAAATTTCTACACTAAAGATTAACCTACGTAAATAAACCTAAAGAACAATGTGAATTAATGTGAAACAGATGAAAAAGTTTTAGGTCGAGTGAAGACTTTAGATGGCGTGGCATTAAGTGATTTGGAACCAACTTAATTATTACACAAACCACATGATGACAAAGCACTACAGGAAATGCAACGATTAAGACAGTTAAATCTAGATTAATTTTTTACTTATTTTTAAAATTTCCTTTTTATTTATTTCTTCGTTCCGAGATTTTATATGCAATCGTATTGGTTATAATATTTCTCAATTTCTCTACTCCGCAAGCTCGCTCCGCTTCAATGACAGGTAGCCTAAGACCCACTTATCGGGACACGGGTTAATAGTAATATATAATCAACTTAAATGAAAACTCCTAAAAAGGCCGTACACAAACTAAAATTATATCATCCAAGTAAACAATAATATTCATTAAAAATGTTCATAAAATAATTTATAATCAACTTAAATTTAAACTCCTAAAAAGGCCGTACACAAACTAAAATTATATCATCCAAGTAAACAATAATATTCATTAAAAATGTTCATAAAATAATTTATAATCAACTTAAATTTAAACTCCTAAAAAGGCCGTACACAAACTAAAATTATATCATCCAAGTAAACAATAATATTCATTAAAAATCTCCTAACAAATGTTTATAAAATAATATATAATCAACTTTAATGTAAACTCCTAAAAGGGCCGTACACAAACTAAAATTACATCAACCAAGTAAACAATAATATTCATTAAAAATGTTCATAAAATGAAAACTACTGGGCCTATGTTAAATTTTTTGGGACCAAATGGCAACTATTCAGCGTCAAACTAAAGAAGAATCACGTAAATCGAATCATAAATCTCAGAGTAATCGGTGTACATACATAAAAAAAAAACAATCGAATTGAGAACCTCCTCCTTTTTTAAAGTCGGTTAAAAAGAGGACAAACTTGTATCATTCTTAGAAAACAATGTAACCTTATGTATATTTATTTACTTAAATAGTATATAAAAAACACTTTTGTTTTTTCTGTAAAGAGGGTGATGTAGTGTATAGTATGTCTAAGTAAAACTATTGTAATTATGTTCCACGTGTACTGTGTGTGTTCCTAACTTATTTAACCAATGATTATTATAATAAATGTGTAGTACATACTTGTGATCTGCTGTCACTGGATTTCCAAATACATCCCAAACAAGTCCTGCTGTCTGGTCCTCTCTGCAGAAGATAATCACACTTTATGTTTGAAATCAAAGGGTCAGAAAAACTGAATACTCTTTTTACCAGCTTAATTTAAAAAATAATTACCTGAAGGTTGTCAACATCATCTTGTCTGTTATTAAGGGGTAGAATTGGTCTCGGAAACTGATCGTCCTGTGAAAAGTGCATGATATATTGATTCAAGTTGGATTTACCAACGAGTAGTGATTTCAAGCTAAAATGAATTTGAATTTAGGTTTTTAATATAATTTTCAATAGGATCATAGAATCTTTAAAAATCTTTAACTATGCGCTAGACTTTATTCATCTAAAATCTATTCAGGGTTACCTTTTCTGATTAAAATTCGCGAAAACGTAAAAAGAATAAACTGATAATAAAATACACACCCT